TTTTTGGTTTTTCTCTGGTACCGGGAACCGAACTCACGACCTTGCGCTTGCCAGGCAGGCGCTTTGCCGCTGAGCTAAATCCCCAGCCCCTTATTGATCTTTTCAAAGGATTAACTCTTGGTTTTACCAACTTTTGGTCTTGTTTCTCTAAGTCTTTTTTTGAGACAGGATCTTGCTATGTAGCCTAGGCTGGTGATCCCCCTGCCTCAGCCTCCTGAGTGCTCAAATTACAGACATGTGCCACCACGCCCAGCTTATTTATTTTCACTCTGGCCTTTTTATTTCCTTCCTTCTTCTTGCTTTGGGTTTAGTATATCTCATTTCTCACTTCTTAGGCTAGAAGCCCCCTTCCCACCACTTTCCTCTCAGTATAAGCATTTACAACTACACAGTTCCCTTTGAGCACTACTTTTGTTGCCTCCCACGTTTTGGTAAATAGTGTTTTTGTTTCATTTATCTCAAAATACTAACTTTCCTTGTGGTTTATTCTTTGACCTATTACTAGTGGCTTGTTATTTTATGCAAGGATTATTACTGCTAGTTGGCATAATAATTTAGTCATTAGGGAAAATACTTAATGAGACTCCTAAATTTGGGGAACAGCTTTGTGTGTCTTCATACTGGGGGAGAGTATTTTTGTACAAAGAATAGTTACATCTCTTAACAGAAACACGTATGTATGTTTATTATATAGAAATTCAAATATAAATAGAAGGAATGAGGGAGTAGAATATGCTGGTTATTAAACTGATGTCTTTCAGCTTCAACCCTTTCTTTCCTTTCTACATTCCATTTTATGATGCTGGGGCTAGAACCCTGCAATCTGTATTTGTTGCCCACCTTACCCCTTATTTTCTATATATATATATTTTTATTTTGAAACAGAGTCTCACTACAGTCCAGGCTGGCCTCAAACTCTTTGATTCTTTTGCCTCAGCCTGAGTGCAGGGATTACAGGTCTGCCACTATGCCTGGCTACCCACGGTTCTGTAAATAAGAGGTACAAGATATACAGTGGAAATCTAGAGGAAGGACGAGGGACTTGCTCTTTCCTCTTTTCATTTCTGTATCATCCGCAGTGATTTTTCATACTGGAAACAAGTTAAGTCCAGTGACAGCAGCTGATTAGTTAGCATTTTTTCACACTTCCAAAACGTTTCGTCATGTTTTCTCAGAGATGGTGGCGGCGGCAGTGGCAGCAGCAGCAACGGTAGCGGGCTGGCCCGTCCTTCACCATTTGGGCTGCTAAGACAGTATCACTCAAGCAGGGCCTCCTCCTCAGACAAGTGAGTCTCATTTCCAAGAAATTCCTCATCCGAGTGTCAATAATCCCACCCTTTCCTTGTTCACCCAACCCCTAAGATGCTAACTATATACTGCATTTACCAGCTCTGATATCTCAGTATTTACTTCTACTTTTCCCATGACAGTATCTTCTATCTGGTTAGTGATTCTTTACAGTATATTCTATTTGTTTCAAAAGACATATGGTTTCTGTTTCCTGACTGGACCTTGTTTGACACATGGATACCTATACATCTTAGCTGAAATATGGCGATATAGTCACTGTACTACTCTTCCAACTTTTTGGTATATTTAAAAGCTTTAACAATAAAACTCCAGAGAAAAAGTTCATCTGAAAATCTGGATAGGGCTTTTGTTTGTTTGTTTTTTATTTTTTTCCAGTACCGGGAATCAAACTCACAACCTTGCACTTGCCAGGCAGGTGCTGTGCCACTGAGCTAAATCCCCAGGCCCCGGATAGGGCTTTTGTTAGGAGATGATAAATGCAATTGTTGATTCCTCCATGTAGTAAGCTGATACCACGACTAAAAACCTACCAATACACAAGTCAGCCAACCAACCAACCAACTAACCGAACAAAAAGCCTAGTTTTCACTCTATATCTAGAAAAATTTCTTTATACACATGGAAGTGCCACAAAAAGTCCAAGTTGAGCAAATCAAACATGGTGTCTGTGTGAAAAAAATAAAAAGGTTCTATAGGAAAAACCTGTGCAAATGTTTCATCTTATAGGATAGAAAACTGAAGGCTAGGATGAGTAAGAGTTATCCAAAATCATGTAATAAAATTAATGGAGTAAAAACTTTCCCATACTCATTCAAGTATACAAAGCAAGTCTCTTCATTGTACATGACAGGAAAGGAACAGGCTTGAGCAAAAAAGGGAATTTGTTACCTCATATAACTGAAAAGGAAAGTGTGACTGCATCTAGTGACTGGGGAAGTGGCCTAAGGATCTTCTTTTTGAATGTTGGCTTCACCCTCCACAGCTTCTCTGTCTAAGGTAGCCAAACTGACCACTGGAAGACCTAGGCAAATCCTGTTTGTGTAGCATCTTCCCACGAAATCCAGCAAAAGTACTGGATTGGACCAGCCAAGATGAGGCCACGTGGACTGACAATGATGGAAAGATAGTTCCTCCAGGAAACAGCAGGGTGCTGTTACTAAAAGAACCCAATGAATGGATGCTGAGCAGGTCAAAATGTGACTCAACTGGCCAGACCTCTTGATTCCTAAAGGCTCACAGGTACTGAGTTGATACAGACAGTGAGTAGCTGAGCCACCACCTGAGTCAATGTCTTAAGTAGCATAAGGTAGGTAGTGAGTTTGTAAAAACAGAAGTAAAGTAACCTTAGGTCTCTATTCTCAGAAGTACAAAATACAAAGAATTAAACAGTTGTATACTGCCTTTCAAATTAGTTTTTTTTTTTTTTTTGTTTTTTGAGACAGGGTCTTGCTATGCAGTTCAGGCTGGCCTTGAGCTCACCTTGTAGCCCAGGCTGGCCTTTAACTTGCAACAATCCTCCTGCATCAGCCTCCTGAGTGCTGGGATTACAGGCATTCACCACTATACCCAGCTGCCTTTCAAATTAGGATGCACTTTGAAAGCTTCAAATTTGACTTTTCCAACTGCTTTATACCTATTAAAGCCAAGCTTATAATAGTTTCATATAACCTAGTGCTAAAAACATGTACTGTAAATATCCAGGACCTACATTTAAAAACAAATATAATGCAAGTATCATAAAATTTATGCTTTAAAAGTATATTTTATATCCATTTGGTTTTAACTCATATTGGGTTATGCTTGAAATGCTGATCTAGTCAGTATTTTAAGCAGCTTTTGGTGGCTTAGAAAAGCAGTCACGATGTAAAAATTCTAAATGGTCAAGCCAGTTTTTATAGAAAAAGCCATTTATACTTTCCCAGGATTTTTTTTTGGTCTTTTTTTTTTGGTCTTTTTACTCACCCCGTAGCCCAGGCTTCCCTTGAACTCATGATGATCCTCTTGCTTCAGCCTCTCAAGTGACTTCTTAGAGCTATGGTTTCCACTAGAGTTTTGTCTTCCTTAGACATTTTTGAGTGACTAATACACTTCATAAACATATTTAAAACCAGATATTTAGTGAGATCTGCAAAGCAAATTTGCTTTCAGACAAACCTGCAGAGAGTGACATCTGCTGGTCGTAGAGGTTACATCTCTATCCTCGCTGATAGATATTTGAAATTTATCAGTGATCTTAATTTTACAGTAAAAAATACAAAAAATTTTATTCCTTGGCAAAAAGGACTTATATGTACTACCAATATATGTGCATTATTGTGGGAGATTTTTTAAATTAAAAAATTAAAATTTCTTCTTCAACTTAAGAAACAATATACAGTACTTATTGGGAGAAAATAAACTGTTGTAGAATGTGAAAATAAAATAAAAACCCTAGTAAGCCATTTCCTTAAAACTGTCTTTTGGCCAAGCATGGCAGTACATGCCTGTAAACCCATCTACTTGAAAAGGTGAGGCAGAACTGCAAGTTCCAGGTCAGCCTGGCCAGTAACTCAGTGAGACCCTGTCTCCAAACAGGATTGGGGGAGTGGTAGTGCATTTTCCTAGCATGCTCAAGCCATTTGGTTCAATCTTTTTTTTTTTGGTCTTTTTGAGACAAGGTCTAGCAGTGTAATTCAGGCTGGCCTTCAGCTCACTTTATAGCCCAGGCTGGTCTCGAACTCACAATGATCCTCCTGCCTCAGCCTCCTGAGTGCTGGGATTACAGGCGTGCGCCACCACGCCTGGCTTGGTTCAATCTCTACTACCACAAAAAGAAGAAAAAGGCCCAGCCACGCACGGTGGCAAATGCCAAACCTGGGCTACAAAGTGAGCTCAAGGCCAGCCTGAATTGCATAGTGAGACCCTGTCTCAAAAAGAAAAAAGAAAAAGAGAAAGGCCAAAGGGGTACATTTTCTCTTTTGACTCCTGGGTGGTCTTTTGTTTTTTTCCTTGGCCCAATTCCTAGCCTACTGTACTATTTAGCTTGATATTCCATGCTTAGGTGTCTTTTATGTATTGTAACAAACAGGTTACATCGAAACTCAGAATTAGAAAATTCCTATGTGTTTACTAGACAGTGGAACTTCATGTCTTCTGCTTATTTTTAAAACATATTTTCACATGCCTCCTTAAAAGTTAAAGTAACAAAAAAATTTTAAAACACAGAATTCAGTGTACCATAATTATAAAAGGACAGAAAACAGATTTCAGCTAAATTTTACAATGGTATTAAGAACATCCTCAAAAGTCAGACATTAAAAGTGTGTATCAGCTCACAGTGACTTCTGCTGTAGCTGCAGCTTTTGCTCAATGATCTCTGAGAAACGAGGAACTTTTTTGGAAATGGCCACACGGATGTCATCCCTCATATTAAAGCAGCTTCTGGACTTTGCTTTGAAATGTAAAAGTGATGAGAATCCCAGCTCACAAAGGTATGTAGTTGCAAATGGCATAAGGATTTCTAGGGCTATCTTTGCCAGGTTTGGAAACACTGTCAACTGAGCACACCAAAAGTCCTCAAGCTTCATTGTTTCAAACTCCATTAGGATGTGGCCACTAGCTCGTAATTCAGCAAGATCATTTTTCATTAAATGACCATCATCGACAAAGTCGAGGTTAAAGAGAAATGGATCCAGAACCCATTTACTCGCCTCATCAAGATCTCCAACGGAAAAATATCCATGGAAGAAGTTGCTCAGCTGCTGCAGATGCAGTGTTATTTCCGCTGCAATGCATATTCCTTCATTATCTGAGACAATTACTTCTTCAAGAAAAGGAAAATTGGTAAAATTTCTTTTTTCAATTCGCTTTTGCCAACATGGAAACTTCCTGACAAAAGCAGATAACTTCTCTCTAGCTGATAAGGTGTTCATCCCAATCCTCTGCATGGACGCGCTAAGTTCATTGAGGTGTTTGAATAAATCTGCGAGGTATGCTAGGTGAATTTTAAACTCTTTATTTTCAAAACCATCAATTAAATTACTGCTTTGGTGGTGAAGAAACTGATTTATTTCTTCGTACATTTCAAAAATATGGGTAAGTATTTGGCCTCGGGAAAGCCACCTCATTTCTGTATGGAAAAGGAGGACATTATATTCTATACCAATTTCTTCAAAGAAAGCCTGAAACAGGCGATGATTTGGTGCTCTCCCTTTGATGAAATTTATTACCCTCACCACAGTAAACAATGCATCCCTCAGTTTTACAGGCAATGTCCGTATGACAAGTGCATGAGGGTTCAGCAGACAATGTGTGATCATGATATGAGGCGCCTCTTTTTTCACATAGGCAACAAATTCTGAATTCTCTCCCAGCATAGAGGAAGCACCATCAGTACAAAGGGAGCCACATACATCAAGTGCTATCTTGTGCTTCGAAAAGAAGTCTCTGAAGAGACTGAACACATCTATTCCTTTCATGGTTAATTGTAGTGGTTCACAAAATAGGAATTCCTCTACAATCTCTTTATCTTTTATGTATCGAACAAATGCCATTAGCTGACTGCAGTTGTCCATGTCCGTTGTCTCTGCAAGCTGAATACCCACCTTAAGAGGACTGGCTCTGATATCTTCTAGCACTTGCTGTAAGATATCCTGGCTCATTTCATCAATTCTAGAATGGATCACGTCATCTGACAAAGGTACCTGCTCAAGCTTCTTTTGTGCATCTGGTCCCAAAACTATTTGTGCTATTTCCAGTGCACAAGGTTTGACTAACTTTTCAGCTATTGTGTGAGGATTCTTCTCCTTGGCACATAAATATGCAAACTGATACGATGCTTGTAATAAGGCATCTTCATGAGATGCAACTCCAAGTGTTTTCAAAGTTTTACTCTGATCAGATGGTGCAGGCATGTGGCTATTGAGATCATGCCCAGCTATCCCACCATGCTGTCTGTTAAAATGGTCTGATAGTTTCGAGGGCCTGAGATCAGCATTTGAAAATACTGAGTTACACAGTACACACTGCGGGCATTGAGTTCCATCAACCTCTGTTGTACAGGTGAACCAGTAACGAACATAGTCATCATCCCATTTGCGTTTTTTTGACATGGCACACAAAACTTCTCAGGTAGCAGTCCCGAGATGAGACAGAAGTTTCCTCTGGGAGTACAATATATCCACAGGTTAAAAATCAATGGCTACCTGGGGCTGGGGATTTAGCTCAGCGGCAAAAGCGCCTGCCTGGCAAGCGCAAGGTCGTGAGTTCGGTTCCTGGTACCGGAGAAAAACCAAAACCAAAAAAAAAAAAAAAAAAAAAAATCAATGGCTACCTGAATTCAAGCAAAATCATATCACATGCTATCTTGTCATCACATGTTATTCTGTACCTGCCAAGAAATATGCAACAAGTCAGTTCAAAGCCACAACGGTAGCTGGGCATGGTGGCACATGCCTGTAATCCCAGCACTCGGGAGGCTGAGGCAGAAGGATCATTGTGAGTTCAAGACCAGCCTGGGCTAAAAGTGAGCTCAAGGCCAGCCTGAATTGCATAGCCAGACCCTGTCTCAAAAAGACACACACACACACACACACACACACACACACAAACACACAGAATCACCAAATAAAGGGAACAGTGATTCACCAAATTCTTAAGGGAAGGGCATATTTTGATATAGTGATTTCCAAAGTTCTATGCCTTGGAATATGGTTGAGATAGTTTAATAGAGACACTGAAATCCAAGCACCCACTTGGCTATTAAAAAAACATGGCAGTAAGTAAGGCAAGAATACCTACTTAAAGTATTAGCTTTGTACTGGCTATGCCAAGATTAATTAGCTGTAAAACATACTTCTATGTTAGTAATAAGTTGATCTGTTATATGGTTGTTATGAGCTAGTTAAAAATTAAAAATTAGAGGATGCCTACCAATCAAAAATTGACTGATATTCAAAAAGTTCATCTTGCTGGGTATGGTGGGGTGCACCTATAATCCCAGCACTCGGGAGGCTGAGGCAGGAGGAGTGCTGTGAGTTCGAGGCTACATAGTGAGTTCAAGGCCAACCTGCACTACATCTGGAGACTCTGTCTCAAAAGAAAAAGAAGAAGAAGAAAAAAGTTGATTTTAACTTGGGCATGGTGGTTTAGGCTTATAATCCCAGCACTCTGCTAGGATGAGGTAAAAGGATCATAAATTTGAGCCCAGCCTGGCTAACTTAGTAAGACCTTGTCTCAAAAAATACAAAAAAAGGGCTGGATTTGTAGATCAGTGGGGAAAAGGCCTTGGACTCAAACCCCCACACCATCAAAAATTTAAAAAGTTGATCTTAAACCTTCTTTTGTCAAATACTATTGGGATAATATGGCCACTTGTGTTTAGAACTACTCCTTATTAAATGATAACAGCATTATGACATCTGCATAAGAGTATTTACCTTAGTGGATTCTGTAATGCATTTTTACCATGTACAGCTGGAGAGGCAGAGGGAATCAAAGAAAAAGCTTTGCTTTAATTTTGGAGATCATTACAGAACCTGTGAAGAGTTCATTCTTATCTATCCCATCTACTCAAGTTCTTTTTAAGATATACTTATTTTGAACAAAAGAATTTTGAAGGAAATCCACTTATTCTCTATCCCCCTCAAAAGGGCGAACAGGTGGCAAGAATTTTCTATATTCTTGGTGACGAACTTACCTAGGCTTTCCTGTATTTTAGAATGTCACAATTTTCACTTGCTCCTCTGTGGTATTTAGGAATAACAGCAGCCTAAAATGTAAACATTAAAAAAAATTATCATGAGGAATTATTAGCCTAAACAAGTATGAGAATGACGTTGTGGTTGTGTTAAAAGTTTTCACTTGTTAGAGATATAGACAGACCTCACCATTTACAAGCGAAAGGATGTCTGGGATTTCTTCTGAAATGTTTTCAGCACATACATGAACACACACATAAAGTGGCATGTAGCCAAGTGATGCAAGATTGATCTTGGGGTGGTAACTCTAAGCTGGATGATGGGTACACATTATACCATTTTCATCACTTTTATGAACAGTGAAAATGCTAAGTAAGAAAAAAAAAGCATTAAGATAGAATTCACTTTCAGAATGGTTCTGCGGAGCTATCCTGCGAGGTGAATGATCGATCTGATGCAAAGTAAAAGTTTTTTCGCAAGTTTATGACGCGCAGATAGGAGAAAGTTTTTAGTGGAGAAAAAAAAAATCAGCTGAAAGTGAACATTTACATAACAGAAACATCTAGGGAACGATAATACATCTATTTACGGAGTGAAAACTGCGGAGCGCAGTCGCAAGCCTGACACCGGAACCCGCAGGCAACCCGCCCGCCGCCCCAGCGGAGCTCAGGGTGGGCGGGGCCCGCGCAGGCCGGCGCAGCTCGCACCCACGGCAGAGGGCGGGGAGCGCAGCTGCAGCCGCCGCCCCACCGGCGGCCGCCCGGGACCCCGGCTCGACCGGAGGCTGGGACCCTTCCGTCCCCCGGATGTGGTAACAGCACCTACCTCAGGGCTGTGAGAGGTCTGATTACGAGAATGCATGCAAAGAACTCGCTGCTCCTAACGGAGCGGGCCTGACAGCGCCGTTCGGAAGAGCGGGGTTCGGCGCAGGCCGGCCCGACTCCAGCCCGAGGCACCGGCCGGGGATGCTCCGGTTTCTCACAGGCGCCAGCTCCCCTCTCCCGCTCGCCCGCTCGCCCAGAGCGCCGGAGTCAGCCTAGGTGGCAGTGCCTCACGGCCGACCATGGAGCAGAAACGTGAGGGGCGTGGGGACACCAAAGCAGACGGCCCTGCTCCCGCCCCGCCGGGGCTCCATCCGGGTCCTGAGCTGCTTCCCGCCCGCAGAAGGGGCTTGGCGGCTCTCGTACGCAGGCGCAGTAGCGACCGGCTGGGGCCGGCAGGCGGGCAGAGGGTGCATGCGCGCTGCCCGCCCCCCGCCCCCCGTATTTTTTCTTTCTTTTTTTTTTTTTTTGGTAGATTGGGTTCCTGGTGTAAATTTTTATTGTATTGGCCAAGGGTGACTCTCAGGAATGTAAGGCACTATACAGTCCACACAGTTTTTCAGATTCTATCTGTGAATAAGATTTTGTACTGTGGCAGGCTTTGAGCTTGGAGGTGGTAAAGCTGCCGTGGTCACCAAGTTGTGTGTGGAGGCTATGAGGAGAAGGGGAAGGAAGCTCATTGTGCTCCCAGAGCTCCAGGCCAATGGGACAGGCATTAAACTGCACTGCGATACAGTAGAGAATGAACTTCCACAGCTTGTAGCTATTGCCCATACAAGTCATCCCCGACCTGAGTTAGAGCATGCACATGAATATTCCCAAGAGTCCATCCTGACGGTTTTATGAAAAATTAGTTGTCTTTGAGACGGTCACTGTGTGGCCCAACTGGCCTTGATCTTGGGATCCTCTTACCTCAGCCTTCCAAGTACTGGGATTACAGGCTGTATCACCATACATCCAGCTATAATTCTTTTTAGCAAAATGATTTATAAGTAATAAATCCAAGTTGGGACATGGTGGTGCACGCGTGAAATCCCCTCCCTTCGGGAGGCTGAGGCAGGAGGATCACTACGAATTTGAGGCCAGCCTGGTCTATACAGTGAATTCAAGGACAGCCTGAATTACATAATAAGACTCTGCCTCAAAAAACCAACATCAGGGGCTGGGGATATATATCTCAGTGGCATAAGCGCCTGCCTGGCAAGCACAAGGTCATGAGTTCAATCCCGGTACCGCAAAACAACAACAACAACAAAAAACCAAGACCAAAACACACACCTACAGAAATGCAGAGGCAAAAGTAATAAACCCATATATAGCCCTCTTTATTTTCAGCTAATTTTCTTCCACAGGTTTTTTTTTTAATTAGTACATGACTGTGGAACATGGCAAATACATTCATCATGGGTAGTTAGTACAGGTACATGACACATCTTAATTCTTTTCATATCCTCTTCCCCTCCCTACATTTTTCAGTAGAGTTCTTTTAAACTTTCTGTTCATTTTTGTAATCTCTGAAGCATTCCCCAAGACTGCTTTCTGGGAAGTGAAGAGGTTAGCGAAGGACGTCAAAGAATGTGGGGCAGCTGTGTCATTTTCAGGTGATGAGGCCCAAGCTGGCGAACACTTGGGGTCTGCTTAAAGCCTGTCAATGGAAGAAACTGCAGAAGATCAGCCTCAGGGTCTAGAAACCACAGCCCTAAACACTGAAGGGGAGATTTTACAATCAGAGGCATCTGGCTTGTGTCCTGGCTACAAAACCTTTCACTTTGAGGAGTCGAACAAGCCATTTCCAGCTGTTAAGCCCATGTGCTAGTTGTAAAAAAGAGACAGCCATCCATTATCCCTTGAGTCTTCTGAGACAACATGAAAGTCATAGCACATAGTTCCAATATGCAGCTATATATTGGAACTCGTATCTACGGTGTTAGCTTTTTCCCGAAGTGAACTAAAAGACACGATTTTGGATTACAACCTCATAGGGCTAACACGAGCTTTCTGGCAGTTTTATAATCCAGAGCTGGTGAACCTCTTAGAGGTCTCGATGCAAACAGCTCACTATGGCACTTGTGCCATCGGTTCACTGCCACTGTTTACAGCTTACTTCTCTACCAAATATTTGAAATAACACTACAAACCACGTGCAGTTAAGTATTCTCAATTACATACCTTTATTAATAGAAGATGAAATACGAAATGGACACCAACTGTCAGCCTGCTTGGGGGGCCCAAGGGAGATTTTCGTGGGTGAGGTCCCAAACTTGAAGAAGGTAGGTGTGCAAGACAGCCACAACAGCAGGCAGCACGGAGCAGAGCCGAGCCGCCTGCGTCTTTATTGTGTGACTCTTACACAGGTTGTTATCTCATATTCACATTCTTACATAGTGCTGTACCTAGCGCATGCATGTTTACCCGTGCCAAGTCATGGTTATAAAACTGCGTCCCACTGTGTGCTTCCATTAGACAAGCGGTCACGTCCTTAGATGCCCCTGAGCTTTGGAGCAGTCTGAGTGGTTCCCCACACCAGTGTGAGACTTTATGTTGAGCCATCCTATGTTAAAGAATCTGAAGACAAATTTGACCTTTTAAAGAAAAGAATTAGATCTATGTATTGGCATTACTGTATTAATTTCATAATAGTCTGAATCTGGAGGCCATATATATTCATAGTGCAGTATTTGACAGACAGCTGTGCCTCTACCACTACAGTGTCTGAGATGCTGAGTGAACACCATATTCTACAAGTGCTTTTTGACAGACCAGGAAACTGTTCAGTGAAGGCAGTCATGTCAGGGGCTTTTCACAGGCTGTCTCATTCTGCCAGCATTATCTTCACGATGTTCATCGAAGAGGCCTGAGGATCACAGCAGACTCAATTACTAAGATCCCACAAACCATCCTTACAATTCTGAAGAAACCTTCAACTTCAGGTTTTACTCTTTCCAAGTTTTAAAGTGAGACTTGCTGCCAATGAAGATTAGATACCTTTTAAAATTTAATGTCATAATTGTTACATAAAGGTAATCACAAAAGTAGCAGTATCACAAGCAGAGGAATAGATTTCTAGGGGTAAATCATGTTTAGCACGGTAAAAGTACTGATTAGACAATACTGACCCAAGGATGAGAAAATAAAGTTTTCTTCCATTGAAAGACTAACAAATTTGGTTCTGTACATAAGGTTCAAGGAAATGTATTAAAAATTTTGGTCATCAAATAAAAACATATTTGTTACTTCACAGATTTACACAGGAGAGTAAAGTTATTTACATTTTCTACAAATATTCTTTCAGTTACCCAAAGTCCAAGTTAGAATAAATTTATTTTTTGTTTCAGGTCATTTAAAACAAATGACTACAAAGCAACTACAATTAAAGTTAAATTATTACTGCAATTTCTAGCAGTTTAAAAAAGAAGTTCTAGTTTTGAGAAAGTAACGAACCTACTTTCAAAGTGTGTAACACTATTAGATAAAGGGCTAGAAAAACTGAGGAAATAGAGACTTTACTGGTGAGTAGAAGACATTTTGATAGGTAGACAGCCAAGACCTTTCTCCATCACTAATGTAAAATTAGATTACTTCCAATCTTAGTCCATATTTAATGTACTTCCTCTTTGGTTTTCTTCTGTTTTGTTTCTTCAGTGTGGAAAATAAATTTACTTTGAGACTTCTAAAGCTTTATTAAAGTTAGGCAGCAGGGACAGTAGGCAGATTCTTCTACCTACACTTATCCAGAAGGTGAAAGAGTACATCTGTCCTGGATGACTACTGTCCAAGGAAAGAGGCCATGGGGTCATCTGGCCTCTGACGTTTCATTCTGTAGGCCTCCATTTCCTCCTCAGTGGGCTCCCGAGCTTCATACACGCTATTATAAGGCCGCTTCCTCTCATCAATCTGCATGATCTCCTTGACTTGAAGAAGACGAGCTTCTTCGGCATTCAGTGCCTATAGTGAAAGGGAAAAAAATTAGTATCACGGCTCTCCATCAGATCTGTTCTGTGCACAAATGGCAGAGACCCAAAGGAAAGACCCCTGAATACAGAGTGCTGTATCAAAGAGCTTAGGAGTCAGCCTCAACTGATGCTCACTAGTTTCTATTTGGTTCTGAAAGCTATTTCTGCAGAGCACGCAACATTCTATGACATTTTCAGTTGGCGTTAAACTTCATTTAGTGACAAATATGAGTTTATTCTTTCTAAAACAAGCTGACAGTTGAGTTTCTGGTGGAGAGTGCAACTTTGATTTTTCTCAAGGATTTGCTAAAACTTAAAAATAACAAAGCCAGAAGGCAATTATTTCTGGGCAACAGGTCAGTAATTCCAAAATAACAGCTTTACAAAGCACAATTCTTTGTTGCATTAGTGATATCGAATAGTCTAAGCCCATAAAATGTCCATTAATGGGACCTGGGCATATAACCCAGACTCTGGTTCATGTCATTTCTTAAAATGAACTTGCAGACAAGACTAGATCACTTCCTACTGTTAGAATACTGTGTTGCTTCTGCTATTCAGAGTTCACAAAGTACCTTCTTCAACTTTTCATGCTTCTTTTCTTCATCATCACTCTCTGAGCTGCTCTTTCGGTGCTTCTTCTTTTTCTTTTTCTTCTTCTTTTTCTCTTCTTTTAGTTTTTCTTGGTGCATCTAAGCAGGATGATTAAAACAATTAGTGTGAACCCAAGGCTCTAGTGCATGTTTTGAAGTCCTTCCTTCTGCAGTCAAATGCTCCACCACCGAGCTACACCCCCTGAAGTCCTTCCTTCTGGACTTAAAAATTCTGGACAAATGACTACAGATTTACCTCCATGAGGGTTTGAGGTTTTTTCACAGATTCTTCTCCAGTTACATCATCTGTATTACAGTCTTCTGAATTCTGTGGAAGAAACAAGAGGTGATTTGAGTTGAGTGGTATCGTTACCAATCCTGTAAGATGAAATCTGAAATGTGAGCGGGTATGTCTTATGCAGGGTTAAGAGCTCTGGCCGTCTCACACCTTTAAGAACCACAGACAGTTACTTACAACAGTCTCCTTCCCGGCTTCCCCTGTGCAATAGGAGTACTTGAAAAACGAGTGGCAGCACCTGTATCCCCATCTGCCTTCTTTCCAGTAGGATCCCCAGATATGCTGCAGAGAGAGCAAGAGGGGTTATGTAAAAAGAGAACTTAGACCTTCAGCATACTGCTGATAAGGTAATTTCCAGAAAAATTCTGGGAATTCCCCAGTAAAAGGGAGAAGGTGGGCCAACCACCTCAACCACTCAAGTGTGGAGAAGCTGGCGTTACAGTGAAAATGGCCTTTAAATTCTACTCTCAAAGCTTACGTAATACTCGAGGACAGCCAATTTCCCTTCAACAGTTAAGACACGGGAAGCTCAGGGCCTACTTCCCCACTTGGTAGTGTGGCTGATGCCGAACAGCATGTGTCCCTCTGAGATGGGGTTTGTGTTGTCCAGTTTGTACAATCTGCCTGGCTCACTGCACTCTAGACAGTCAGTGGCCTGGGCTGCTGCTCTAGGTAGTTAGGTTTTTGATCCCTGACATAAGACAATTGCAGTTTGGGTACTTCAAGGCTATACTAAGCTGGGTATGGCTGTGAACTCCTATAATCCTACATTTCTGGGAGGCTGAGTCAGGAGGACTACGTGTTTGAGGCCAGCCTGGCCAACTTAGCAATACCCTGCCTCAAAATACAAAATAAAAATAGCTGGGAGCCAGGTGTGGTAGCACATGCCTTTAATCCCAGCACTCAGAAGCTAAGGCAGAGGAGCTTTGTGAGTTCAAGACCAGCCTGGCTACAAAGTGAGTTCAAGGCCAGCCTGAACTGCAGAGCAACACCCTGTCTCAAAAAGACACACACACACGTGCGCGGCTGGGATATTGGAAGGTAGAGTGCTCCTGGGTTCACTTCCCAGTACTACAAAAAAACAAAACAAAATACCAACTTCAACTTGATTCCAAATATAAAAAATAAAAACAATTGGGCTTGAGATCTTGCTTGGAGGTGGAGCATGTGTTTGGCCTGCACAGGGCCCTGGATTCAATCTTCAGCACAAACACACATGAAGAGTACAAGCCGGGCGTGGTGGCGCACGCCTGTAATCCCAGCACTCACGACGCTGAGGCAGGAGGATCACTGCGAGTTCAAGACCAGCCTGGGCTACAAAGTGAGCTCAAGGCCAATTTGAACTGTATAGCGAGATCCTGTCTCCAAAAGACAAAAAAAACGGACAATAAAAAAACAAGAGCACAGCAAGCGGGGGTATGTGCTTGCCGATGTGATATACTATGGAATACACTATATCACTGTTATGTATCCTTGTCAAAATAGCCTCTAGCTAACCAAGCTTTTCGGCCCAAATTCTTACTTTTAGGACATACACGGGAGTAAGTTACGTATTACTAAGAACTACTCAAATACTGAAGACGAGGCAGTGTACAAGGTAACTGGCTGGATCTGGAAAATGGTTGCTTTCAAGAAAACAGGAGACAGACTCTAGAAAAAGACATAAGAACCAAATAATAATCAACACAACCTCAACTTGATTCCCACTATGAAAAAGCCATTGAAAGGATTTTTGTGTGTATTTTTCGTTTTTTGAGACAAGGTCTTGCTGTGTAGTTTAGGCTGGTCTTAGGCTCACTATGTAGCCCAGGTTGGCCTTGAACTCATAGCAATCCTGCTGCGTCAGCCTCCTGAGTTCTGGGATTACAGGTGTGCACCACCATGCCTAGCTTTTGTGTGTATTTTTCAAAAAGTAATTAAGGAGTAATATTAGAATTAAAGAATTAAAGTCAAACTTCTGAAGCACAGTGGTCACATGGCTATGCAGAACCCTTATTATTCTTGGAGGATAAAGGACCTAAATGATTATGGGTGGACTGTCATATCTGATTTCCATAAAAAAAATTTACAAATATACATGTATAAATGTGTATAAACACACACACAAACCTACATGGAGCACATGCAGCGACATGTTAAAAATATTTGAATCTCAGTAGATCTATAGGTGAATGTAGTCCTATACATTTAAAAATGTTTAAAGAAAAAATCCCACAGCAATAGATAATTGAGTTATAATAGAAAAAAAAAAAGCAATCGAGAGCCCAACTAACAAGGAGAAATGGTTCCAGCATAACACATACCGTGTGATTGTTGATCTTCACGTCTTCCTCATACTTGGAGCAGGCTATGGCCCGCTCCTGTCCTTTAATGACTGTGCCATGTCTTGAGTACTCCACATAGTCTTCAGTCTGGGCTAACAGCAATTCAACTGGAGGCGCATCCAAGTGTTCTTGGCCACCATACTAAAAGGACATTGGACACTGTCAAGTATACTTGAGAATAAAGATTTGTATTCAAATTTCTACGGAAGGATTTACTTTCAGTTAGAAAGAATAAAGGAACACTGTTTACTAGGCTTTGTTATAGACAACACAATGAAAAAAATGCTATCAAGTTTTCACAGACAAATAAAAGATGTCTCAGTTGCTATTCATCTGTTAAGTATGGCAGCTTACAAGACAGCCCTAAACTCCTCTTCCCCGTTCACGCCTGCCCCGTGCCTCATGTTTGCTGGCTGTCCCATCAGGAGGCGCGGTCTTTCACAGCCCCTTACGTCTGGGCCTGGCTAGGAAACGTGATGCATGCAGAGGCCCTCGGGTGTACTGCACCTCTAGAACCCTGAAGTGCCTTCTCAACACCCGGGCTGCAGACTAGAGGGGAAGAGACCACGGGAGGCAGAGTTACGTGGTTCTGTGTGAGGGGCTGCCCGGGACAGTTGGCCTGTTAACCCGACCAAACAGCAGGGCATGTAAGGTCCTCAGCTGAGCACAGAAAATGCTCAGAAACTCAGCTGACATAAAAAGCTGCAAGAAATAATGAGTATTTGCTTTAAACTACCAGTTCTGGGGTGGCATGTCTGGCTGCAAAAGCTCACTGATACGAAGTCAATACCAGCTGATTTAAGTCATGGAATTCCTTGTGGATTAAAAGGGACTCTCTGCACGTTATTCCAAATGTAAAACACATGTTTTTTAAGTTGTAATTGCTCTTAAAATTCTTCTTTGCCATTTGATGAAAATTACCTTTTCCTATTGTTTAGACAATTAAATGCTGATAAACTGTACTATGAGTAACTAAAGACAACAATATGAAATGCTTTAACCATCCTTCCCTATTATCTTTTTTTGAAATTTTATTTCTCTTTAGAATAAAAAAAAGAAAAAGAAAATTACCTTTTCCAGGATGCTCTCTTTCTGCTGTTCCTTGAAATCTTCTTTTTTGACTTTGAAGGACTTATACAGCAGCTCCAGTTTTGTAGGATCTGCCTGCAGATGCACCTCAGATCCTCTGTCATAGGCTTCCCAAGCAAACACTAGAATAATTCACAACATTTTAATGAGTCGCCAACTACATTTATTGCATGTTTCTCTGAAGCAAGCTTTAAAAAAATTACCCTCCATCCCCTTTACTTTTTTTTGTGGTACTAGAGATTGAACCCGGGGCTTATGCACCACACCCCTTCCCTTTATGGGACACGGTCTTACTATGTTTCCCAGATTGGTCTTGAATTTGTGATCCTTCTGTCTAAGCCTCTTAAGAAGCCAGGATTACAGGCCTGGGCCACCATGCTTGGCTTCCATTCTTAGAGGTGATACAACGCCTTCACAGAGACCGAACACTTACACTGTGTCTGAGCCATTGAAATAGTATCTCCTGTGTATCTAACGAAGTTATCTCCAGCGTAACTCACTCTGTAAATAGAAATTTTAAAAACTGTCAGAGATTTTCTTCTTTAAGGAAAGAAAACTTAATCCGAATTAAAATGAATACCATCTATGGTTGGGTAAAAATGGAATTAACTTATCTTGACGTTTATAAATTTGGTACTTACTCATCTGGATTCTTCCCTGCATTGGCATATGGGTTCTCTCTCATTGCTCTAGTTTTTGGATCATAATAGGCAGAATTTGGATCCAGATTTCTCAAATACTAGAAGAAAAAAAAAGGTTAAAAAGCTGAACATTTACTTATGGCAAAAAAGATGTCAGCAGGTAGGAGTTGTTTAATATGATCATCTAAATGTGTGTGTCCATTTCCAGGGAACGAGTGAAGACAGAAAATAATGTAAAAAAAAAAAAAAGGAGAAAGAAAGCAGAATGATACCTTGTTTTGGAAAGACTCTGCTTACATTACCCAAATACCACCCACGCACAGCAGGAAGATAAAATTTAGCGGGGAAGGCAAATATTTTTCAAATGTGCAGGTCAGGTTGGCAAGACTCACTTTTGCAATATCTTCTCGAATCCTGAGATTCCGGACAGTGATTCGTCGCTTGGAGTCAAAATTCTGCCCAGGCATGTCAATGTCATCTGCATACTTATCTTCATCCTCATCTTCGCTATTATGATCTTTTTCCTGAGAGAGGGAGAGGGAACAAAAACTGAGTAAAAAAGAGCAGTGTAGCCCTTGCTTTCCTTTCCCTATAATCCACCCTTATGCTTTCTTGTTATTTAAAAGCTACTACTAGTTATTAAATTATTATCAGCCACTGAAAACTGAGAAAGTTAATGACAGGGCAACACTTTATTACCATCTGAGAGTTTGGTTCCTCTTCTCCCCACTGGTGTTTTGGAGAATTCTGCATCAAGAAAAGAAAAGCATTTGTAACTTTATTTCATTTTACCTACTGACTATTTAACACCATAAAAACATAACTGATCTCATCTTGGGACGAGGGTGTAGCTTAGTGGTTGAACTTTGCCTAGCATGTGCAAGGCCCTGGCTTTGATACTCAGCATTGCAAATACTACTGCTACTGCTACTACTACTACTACTAACAGTAATTCTAACTGAACAAATTCTTGTATTTTTTCACTTGTGATGAGGACAGATATTCTGAATACAAATACACCACTATAAGTAGTTAATTTTATTAAAGTATCTACAAACCCAGAAAATACCTAGGTTTTAAAAAAAAACTGATATAGGATTATAATCACAGAAGATTAGTGGGACTATTAAGCTGAACAAAATACTCAGTAAACGTAATTTCCATATGCCTTGGTCTTCAGATATACCATGTTCATTAAACCTTGCTAGTTTTCTATCAAGTCCAAAAATAAAATGTTACCAGAGTCTTGTAACAAAATTCTTAAGAGCCGAATGAACCTTTGTAAAATTCTGGCAATGAAGAAGCCAGAGCATAAAACACTCTATTTTAAGGAAAGGCCAAAATTTTGTCAGCTTCATTAGCAATTGCTCAGGATACCATGAATGAAATGGTCAGTATAATATTATGTCTCTTTACAAGGGCTTTGGAGTAAAAAGGAAGATACTGTTAGTGGGTGAGGAAATGTGGAAAGAGGAGTGCGTATGTGTGTGTGTGTGTGTGTGTGTGCATGTGTGTACATACAGTACATTGATGGGAATATAAATTTGTACACATACTAAACACACTAACGAAGTCTAGTCAAAGTAAAGAAAAATATGTACAATCTGCTAACATTTTATGTGAAAAAAAGAATAGGGAGGGAGAAGTGGCAATAAGATTACATATTTATATATATTGTTTTCATATTTATATTTGTATTGTAAACTCTGAGTCAAACCCACAAAAAAGGTTATAGGGAGAAGGTTCAGAAAAGGGGAAGAAGCCGGGTGTGGTGGTGCATGCCTGTAATTCCAGCACTTGGGAGGCTAAGGAAGGAGGATAGGTGAAAGTTCGAGACCAGCCTGGGCTACAAAGTGAGCTCAAGGCCAGCCTGAACTGCATAGCGAGACCCTGTCTCAAAAAGACAAAAAAAGGTGGGGGGGGGTGAAAGAGGCTTTTCATTGAATACCTTCTTAAACTCCTGATTTTTTTTTTTTTTTTTTTTTTTGGTCTTTTTGAGACAGGGTCTCGCTACTCAGTTCAGGCTGGCCTTGAGCTCACTTTGAAGCCCAGGCTGGACTCGAACTCACAATAATCCTCCTGCCTCAGCCTCCTGAGTGCTGGGATTATAGGTGTGCGCCACACACCAGGTGTGAACTCCTGATTTTTAAAGTATGAATATACGTAAAAATGAATGGTATTGTATGTGTATACTTAATAACACAGAAAACAAGTCCTCATTGTACTATATATTAAATTAAATAAGCAGGCAATAAATGAGTGTGCAAAGATGACTCCATTTAAGGAATATAGAATTATAAACATTAAATAGATATTTTGAGAGAGGGGAAACTGGAAAGACATCAACAAGCTAATAGCTGTCTAGGGTATAATTCAGTGGTGCAGTGTGTACACAAGGCCTTAGGTTTGACCCTGGCACCACAAAAAAACCAAACCAAAACAAAAACCACCAGCACCAACAAAACCCCAAACTCTCAAATCAAAAACACCTACAAAACGTTACTAATTAACATGAGAGCTAGGCATGGTAGCGCACATCTAGAACCCTACCACTTCGTAGGCTGAGGCAGGAGGGCTGTTGTGAGTTCAAGACCAGTTTAGGTTACAAAGTGAGCTCAAGGCCAGCCTGAACTGCATAGCGAGACCCTGTCTCAAACAGACAAAAAAAAGAAAAAAAAAAAACCCAAAACCAAAAATCCGTATTTTCTTCTTTATAATTTCCTACTTTTTTTTTTTTTTTACTAGTATGTGTCTTACTTCAAAAATCAGAAATGTAATTTTTCTTTTTTGGAGGTAAGGTTTCCCTGTGTAGCCCAGGCTGGCCTCAAATAACCCATAGCAATCCTCATGCCTCAGTCTCCTACTTGCTGGGATTACAGGCATGCCCCAACAAGATGAGCTATAAATATTTTTTAAAAGATAGTAAGATGTTTCTGGAGTTCCCTATAGGTGCTAGTTCAACAAAGTACATTTACACTGCTGGAGAGACAACTCAGTCTCTGCAGTAGGCTGCTCCACTCTGAGGGTATGCAGTTCATCTTAATATCCGTGCATCCAAGTGGGTAAAAAAAGGAGAGGGGTAATGCGGTATCATTATTGCAGTTTTACCACTATACTGAGACTCAGAGAGGCACATTAATCTTCTAAGAGCAGCTAGCTAGATGTGGCAGAGTTGGATTTTAAACAACTAGCTGGTAACTTGTCTCAGTAACTGCTTAGGAGTTCATCTCTGAATTTCTTTTGCTTTGCAAGTCATATATGCTAAGAGTCTCTTTTGGAAACTTGAAGTAAAAAACTTCACGTGTTTGTGTCATGAAATTGACAAAAAAAGAAAAAAACCTTTTATACATAAATTAAAAAGAAAAAACTAGCTGCAGTTCACCTTTTTAGTATGAAAAATCTTTGCCAAGCTATAAAATTAACACATGTTCATGAGAGAAAATACAAAAAAAAAGAAAAAAGAAAAAAAGAAAAGCTGGTATTCTAGTATTTTTTGTTTGTGATATTTTTTCATGTGTCATTAAAACATATGCACTTACCAGTGCTGTTAACAAGGTCTTAATAAACACCACTTTAAGAGTTATACAACATTCCATAATGCAGATATACAATAGTTTAGTCGGTTCCCTAATGTCTGGTTATTTCAGCTCTTTCAGTTTTTCACTAGTGTGGAAAATGGTGCAGTGAAAATCTCTGGGCACAATGATTTGTGCATAGAAGTTATACAAAATTCTTTAGGATGGGTGGACTGATGCATTTAATTTCCGAAAAGGTGCGTAAATAATTTAGGGCAACATTCTTTCCCAATGACTTTCCATGAAAAGTATAAATAGTGTCAGCTTTGCTCCTACCCCTTAACAATACAGGTTAACAGGCTGAGTACTCCACACTGGAAATGCTTGGGATTGGAAGTGTTTTCAATTTTAGGTTTTTTTTTTTTTAGTATCTGCATATACACACACATCTTAAAGGTAATTTTATACAGTATTTTTTGTTGTACCTACGTTATGACTACAACCTGTCACATGAGGTCTGGTATGTAACTTTCCTCTTGTGCAGGAAAAGATGGCATCATGTTCGAGCTCAAAGCTTTCATTTGGAGATTTTACTTTCGGGATTTTTGTTTTTGTTTTGTTTTTTTCCGGTACCGGGAATCAAACTCACAACCTTGCGCTTGCCAGGTAGGCGCTCTGCCGCTGAGCTAAATCCCCAGCCCCACTTTCTGGATTTTTGAATTAAAGATGCTCAGCCTATACTGGATTTCTTTCCCTAACATATTTTCTAACTACAGAGATATAAAATGAATTCTTGTTCCAAATTTCATTTCAACTGGCTAAGAGTCAGAACATTTTTGTCTTGATCATTTTTATTACTTACAGCTTGTTCTACTAATTTTCCTGAAGCTAATTCTTCTTGGAGTTTCTGGGCTTTCAATGTTCGTTTTGCCTGAAAAACAAACAAAAAAACATTTAAATTTTGCTTAAAACATTCAAATAGACATTTGATTTTCATACATTTAAAATGAGTAATTGTGTTGTTTCCAGAAGAGGGCACTGCACGGGTTACCGCTTTGATCCCCTGCAGCCCTGGGCCTTGATGCTAAGGAACAGGAGTTATGGGAGTGGCTGCCTGTACCAGGCGTTAACGTACGCTGAGCCGGACGGCATCAGCACTGAACTATAGGGAGCAGCCCCAGCCCAAAAGGACAGAGGCCAGGTGATGCCAGATGACAGACTGAGTCTTGCCACGCAGGCCCAGGGTTACCATTTATTTCAACGTACAAGAAAAGATGGAATCTAGATTTTTATGTGATATTTCATGATCTTTAAATATTATCTCTAATTTTAAAAAGGCAGTGTTGGCGATGGTTTAAAGGAAGGGGGATAAGTAGGTGGTGTCATAACAGAAAAAATGAGGTTGAATTAAAATAAAATTCCATTTTCTGAAACAAGTTATTTCTTCCCCTTCGACCATTCCAATTGTGTGTGACAAGTATAATAAAGATGTAGCCTGGCATGGTGGCACACGCCTATAATCCCAGTACTCAGGAGGCTCAGGCAGAAGGATTGTTGTGAGTTCCAGACCAGCCTGGGCTACAAAGTGAGCTCAAGACCAGGCTGAACTGCATAGTGAGACCCTGCCTAAAAAAGACAGGGGGAAAAAAAAAAAAAAAAGATGTACGGGCAAGCAGTATGCCTGGGGCCAAGAGTTCAGAAACTCCAAAAGCTAAAAGCTTTGAATCCTAGAATAGGTAAGAGAACAGACGTTCTCATGCTTTCAACGCGTTCTGCTCTATAAGGTCGAGTAAGCAACAATAAAATAATTAAACATGAAGAAACTGCCGCCAAAGAGGGCTACCACACTGGTTAATTTCACTAGGAAATCAGGTCTACTGCTAAGAAATAACATCATTTGTAATAACATCATGGTGCTTTAAGACCTAAAAAGTAGAGTGGCTAACTTAGAAATACTGTAAAATGTACACTCTTCTTTGAGAAGCAGATGGCCGGAAGTCTTGCTCACCAGATCAACTTTGGCGTACTCTTCCACAATTTTCATGTGTTCCTCTGGATTATAGCCATTCCACCGATCTCTCTTCCCATCGTAGTCAAACATCAACTGAGGCTGGACATGTTCATCCGGAGCTATATTAGTACCTGTAAATTTGGCTCCAACTCGCCTAGGTCTCTGGGAAACAGAAGATGAAATAGTTTTTTAAATACTGGTAGCTCAGAAGGAAATTTCATGTAGCTTTCACAGAGCCAATGTGAACACTCCATGGATTTTTAGTATGTGATTAACTACCAGATAACTTTCTGACAGAAAATTTTGATGATGCTGGACTAACTTCACTCATCCTAATTTTTATTTAACTGGTACTAAAATATAAATTATTTTAGAAAAACAGAAGTTCTGAGAAGGAAGAAGGACTCTCTGACAACAGTTTCCAAAATTCTCAAAGGTGAACTTACCTCAAAGCAGTCTTTCTTCTTGTGTGTCAGGGCCCCACAATTTTCACATGCTCCTTTGCGGTACTTAGTAGTGACGGAATTCTATAAATTGATATAAAGAACAAAGCAATGTTTTATCTGAACAAGTTAACAAATAACTTGGCTCTCATTAATGTCTTGTCTAATGAAGTGACTTATTTATTAAGAAGAAAATCAGGCCGGGCGTAGTGGCGCATGCCTGTAATCTCTGCATGTATGAGGCTGATGCAGGAGGACAGTTGTGAGTTCAATGCCATCCTGTAAATTTGAGCCCAGCCTCAGCCATTTAGAGGCTTAGCAAGACCCTGTCTCTTAAAAAAAAAGTAAAAGGACTAAGGATGTAAATCAGTGTGAAGGTTCTGGGTTCAATCCCTAGTACTAGCCAAGAGAAATAAGTAAACACCAAAAAAAGCAAGAAAATATCAGTTAAGAGTCTTCACTTGAGTGTGGTCGTGTATCTGTGTAATCCTAGCACTAGGTCACCTACATACCTCTTTTACACCTCTCTTGTACCACTCTCCAGATGAGCTGAATTGCTTTTGTTTTTCTGGTTGTGGTCTCTGATGCTTTAAGGTGGGTCTTTTTGATGGATCAATGTACCATGGCACTGAAGAAATATACTGAGGAATATGAGGATTGATGTCTCTGTAATAAAATTTTTAATGAAGTTTGAAAATAGTTCAGTTACAAACATCCTACACAAAATCTAAGAATAGAGATACAACAGCAAGAGGAGCAAAAGAACGTGACTGCTATCTCTACTATAAAGAACAACTGAAAATGAAGAAAGCAGTTGTATGAAGTGAAATATTTCTAATCAAGATATTAAAAATACTATTATAACTGAAAAGAAGAGAAAGGAAGGTTGTGATGTGTTAGTGAACAAAACCTATCAGAGCAAAAACTTAATGTCTACAGTCAACTGATTAAAATTACTGGGTAAGTATTATTATTCAGAAATGTAAAGGTAACGCCCAGCAAAATTCAGATTTAAAAGTCGTCACCATAGGGGGAGATAAGGAGCAGAAGGGTGAAAAGGAACTACCACTGTTCATGATGAGCTCTGTGACATTATTCAATCATTAAACCTCGTGTATATGAACTTGATAAGATAGCATCGGAACTGATAAATTAGGTAGATTCAAGTGAGAATTTTGCATGAAGAGATTCTGCAAAAAATTAAAGTACTTACTTTCCTTCCTCATCAACTTCTGCAGGGGCATTGCCCAATTTTCGTTGTTCTTCTAACTCCTTCTTCTTCCTCCAGTCCTCTCTAGTCATCTTCTTTGGTTCCTCCAAATTCATTTCTTTGGACCCCGACAGGGGTGCAGCATTCGCTGTATCCACTGCTGCTGCCGACATGATGGCGGGGCTTTTTCTAAGAGAAGGAAGAAGTTACAGTGGGAAGCAGGCCTTCACGAATTCATCACTGAAAACTACCAAAAATTCATCCTAATAACACATATGAGTTAGACACAATGTCTCGTATTGTTGTGGTTGGGGTTTTGCAGAGGGAACAAGACAATACAGGACACACGTTTTATAAAATTATTTAAAATAGTCACACGAAGAATCATATACAAAGAGAGAGTATAGGAAATCTGCCCACACACTTAAGACCAAAGAATCCAGCCAAGGGCCTGGATCCCACAGTAATGTCCTGCATGAGTCTAGTGAAGACCCAGAGCCCCAAACAATGCCTTCCACGAGTCCAACTGGAGGCCTAGAGCCCACAACAATGCCTCAAGCAGGCCTGTTTCATGAATGTGTGCTGGGAGGGCCCACAGATCAGTGGTGGAAGCTATAAAGTCTCTGCCAGCGGGATGAAGGATCTGTGCTGGCAGGCTGAGGGATCTGAACTGAAGCCAGGAAGCGATGCTCAGAACCAGAGCTTCCCTGAAAAGTACCACAGCCATCCTCAGCAACAGCGAGGTCCAGAGTTCCTCTTCCAGTGGGAACAACCAAGTTCATCAGGAAAGTCAGCATGACAAGGTCCTCCAGAAGAATAGCCCAAGAGAACCAGCAGCTCCCTAACAGCTCCCCAACAGCTTCTCTTCTCCAGTTCTGCCTCGTATGCTGCCGGCAACAATCCTCAGGTGGGCCTCCCACACCGAGCACTGCGCTGGTTCACTTCAGCTGGGTGTTACAAGTCGACCACCAGTTGTCAGCCCACCGCACATATGTCTTTAAAATTTCATAGGACTCTTTCATAAACATTCCTGAACTGCCTTTTCTGTGTAGTAACTCTAATTTCTCTGTCATAGTTACCCTTACAGAGAGTATACACGGTCCTATTCCTCTTTCTCTTTAAAGACAAATGTTTGAAGGACTACCTATAGCACTGATGGTGAACCTTTTAGAGACCGAGTGGGCAAACTCCACTTCAAAAGCCACTTACTTATCTCAAAGTGCTGATGCTGCAATTAAACTTGAAAATGGCCAGGCATGGTGGTGGATGCCTGTAATCCCAGCGCTCAGGAGGCTGAGGCAGGAGGATTGCTGCAAATTTGAGGACAGCCTGGGATACAAAGTGAGTTCAAGGCCAGCCTGAACTACATAGTGAAACCCTGTCTCAAAAAGACAAAACAAACAAACACACAAACAAAACCCCCCTGAATACTGAGGTTTTAGTTTAGAAAAAAACAACTTGTACACTTTGTTGTGTGTCGACAGAAAGGGCTCTCTGCCCGCTGTGGCAGGTGTGCCCTAGGTTTGCCCCACTGACCCACAGTCATGTCTATTTCTTCACTTTCCACTCCTCAGGTATGTTAACTTCGCTTCGACCCTCAGCTGTTCTGTTCAGTTACACTGTTATGAATGATCAATGTGTTTTTCAGTCCCATTCCTTCTCTTTTTGATATATTCTTATTTCCTTGCCTCATGACACTATTTCCTACTGGATTTTCTTTTTTTTTCCTGGTACCGGGAATCAAACTCACAACCTTGTACTTGCCAGGCAGGTGCTGTGCCGCTGAGCTAAATTCAAAGCCCCAGGATTTTTTTTTTTAAACCACAGAGATTTAACTTTATTTCATCATTGTCATTTAAAGATTGATTTAAAAATTTTTTAAGATGTAAGAGTTCCATATTACAGGAATTAAACAACACAAATATCCACTGCTTTATGGGTTCAAGTTATAGAAGTTAAAATCAAATAATAATAAGTATTTTCAATATTGGGACTATACAATAAGACCACAAAAAGACCCAAGAAAGAAATACTTCATTACTTTCAGGATCTAAACAAAGGTTCTGAGTTTTCAGACTCTGATTGCTGTTTTATACAAATAGCTCTCTACCTAACTTAATCATTTTACGAGCTCAGAATCAGTAGTTATAAGCGAAGTGAGTCTGTATTTCTGCACTTCAGTAAAGGTTTCAGGTGGATATATACCACACTAATACAAAATGCCACTGACACCAAATGAGAACTCGGCTACCACTGCAGCACTCCTGTGGCAGACAGCTGCAGAGCCTCAGCTGGGCCCACAGACTAAGGTGCACGCCTCCACTCTGCGGATGGCGACCGTGGCGGCTCACCCCATGAGTTCTTCTGGTGCCTGTCTCACTGCTCCTCTGGTCTCCTTTGCACGTTCATCCATTACCCAGTTATTTAATGGTAAGTTCCTCAAAGCTTAGTTGGAGCATCCTTTATCACTCAAAGCTGTACTAGTCTCCAAGGCTTTAACAACAACAATACAAGGGGCTAACAAAATATACAGTGAAGTTTTAAATGGAAAAACTTATTATAGTAAAAGACACATTGCTGCTGCCCCTCTCAAAATACTCTCCCTTCACTCAGACATACTTATGTTATTGTTCTTGCATGGACGTCCCCTTTCATGCATGTCTTCATGAGACGAGATAAAAAATACGGTGAATGTTGCTGCCGAGTGCCATCCAATGGAAAGCCTGCTTATACAATTTGTTTTTTTTTTGCATTGGGAATCAAACTCATGATGTCAGGCTTGCCAGACAAGCGCTTAAGCCGCTGAGCTACACCCTTGGCCCAGGCTGCTTATACAAATATTACAGTGTGTCTTCATTTACCTTATTTACTGGATCTGGTATCGTGCTACTTCTAGCTCTTCCCCAAAGTCAAAATGACCACAGAAGGTGAACGTTTTAAATCAATTCAGAACATCAAGGAAGCACCACAGTGCAACTAAAGACATGAAATGAGGACTTCCAGAACTGCTCCATAAAATGGCAAAAATAAGGGGATGAGTGTGTCTGAAGTGAGGGAAAGTATTTTGTGGGGGATTAATGGCAATTCGTCTTTTACTGTAATACATTTCTAAATTTAAACATTCACTGTAGTTTTCAATTGGTGCTCCAGTTTGTGACTCAGTTTCACTTGTGCTTCAGATACACGTATTCAACTTTTGAGTTCTTCACTTAGGAGTTTTCAAAGGACCTAAACTTAACATATCTTAATTCAAAACTCTTGATCTTCCCTCTGAAATCTACTGTCTCTTCACTGTTCCCTAGCTTAATTAGAGGTAGCACCATCCCCTTGCTTACATGTGTTCCGGTTTATCCTTAAATCTATTTCATTATGAAGGGTTATTTTCACTATCTGAATATCTCCAAAATTCATATACTTTTTTCCATTCTCAATGCTGCCTACCACTTTAGTGTGAGTATTACTTTTTCCTGCTCACTGGGCTCCTCTGAGTCCCTTAAATTAATTCTCCATGCTGCAGCCTAATTTTTTAAAACACAAACTGAATCATATAATGTCCCAGTGCTCAAACTTATGCTGCCAATGCAGAACCATCCAAGAGAAATATAATGCCTGCAACATATGTATGTAATATAATATGTAACTTTGGTTTCCAGCCACCATGTTAAAAAGATGAAAAGAAAGTAAAGTCACTTCCACGCAATTTTATTTAATCCAATATTGCCAACATATTACAACTTCAAATTCAGTCAACATGAAACATCAACTCAGTCTTAAAAGCTGGTATAGAATTTACACTTACTTGGACTAGCTATATTTTGAGTCTCAGCAGCCACAAGTAGCTAATAACTATCATATTGGACAGTGTAGCTCCAATGGATCTCATTATTTTTACTCTAAAAATGAACATTTTTTAAACACACTTACACGGTTGGCTATGGTCCAGCACCTGCCTACCTTCCAGCCTCATCATCACAACTGTCCCACCTTCTCTACCCACTAGATAGAGCCACTTCTGGTGCCTCTAACACATTATGCGCTCTGCACAGACATTGGGCCTTTACAAAGCTCTTTCTCAACAGATGTGCTCAATGGCTAGGAGTCTATGCTGCTGCTCAAAGGTGTCCTCTTAGTCTGTGTCTGACCCACAGAAAATCTCCACAGATGTTTGTGTAACGTACTGTGAGGTGAAGGGACCCAACAATAAATTTAACCCTCACTTTAATAACCACCAGTTTGAGCTTGGTTCTCATCCAGTCTTTTTTTAAAAATTAACAATGGTTGTTATATTGTAAATTCTTATCTTCAAAGTAACTGTTCAGATTACCAGATATAGGCATGCGAAACTGATGAAACCATAGGCATTAACTGTTCCTTTCAATAAACCAATAGAAATTAGTGGTACAATTATCCTAGCTATCTTGTGTGTGTATACGTATATATTTTTTTTCTTCCTTATATTGTGCAAGGGAAAGAAACTGCTCATTCAGTCTTTTAAACAACTCCATTTTACAGTGAAGAAACAAGTTCCAAGAGCTTAGGACACAGGCTAGTAGCAAAGATCTCAAACTCAGCCCTGATCCAGTGTGGGTTCTTTAAACCCTACGTTATCTAACGTACGACACTGGCTTCTGGGCCTGCAACATTAAAAATTAAAACTATATGTTGCAGTGACCAAATGGTCTTCATTAGACCCCCTCGCTGGGGAGGGACCTACTTTCTCCAGGTGTAAACAAGAACTCCCACTCCCTGGATGCTTAGTGGAAACTAACGCTTTAAGATCTCATTTAATTTCATAGTACCTACTTCTACCTTCGAAAAGTATGACTATTACCTAACGAGGAAATCGAAGCTCAAAAAAATTCTGGAAACAGTCTGTCCCCGAAACACCGCGACAAAAGGGTCACTACCACTTAAACCCACTGTTCGATGACGCAGGCTTGGTCTGGACGGACACAAGCATCTTCCCGCCTGCGTCCCAGGACAACGGCTTCCCTCTCGGCTCTTTGTCCTCAGCCCCGCAAGGACAGATCTAATAATCAAGAGCCTTCGACCTATTTCCCACGGTTCCCTCGATCCTCCCCGCTCCCTCGTCCGCAAATTCTCAGAGTATTTTCTTACCCAGTTCAGCTGACCGCACTCCAAAACCATCCGACTTCAACGGAGTCAAGCCGCGAATGTTTACTTCCGGGTTTTCTGCCTTCTCCCGGCAGTCACTGCGGCAGCTTCCGGAAGACTGACGCATGCGCACTAAGATGTAGTCGGGGCGCCGGTTTTTTGGCGCCTCCAGTGTCTGGAGGTTGGAGTTGTGCCTGTTTCCGTATTTACGCTGTGTCGGGGGAAATATTTAGAAAGGTTTTTTTCCCACCCTTTAGAATCACAGAACGTTAGGAGGAGAAAATTCTCAAAAGTTTAGTATCTAGAACAAACAACAGTTTTAAGTCTCACTAGGAGACTATGGAATGAGGATGTTTGTGATATATTTAGTAACAAACCAGTTAAGTTAGTAGTATTAATTAGTAGCCAGACGCTGGGGGGAATGTGTGTAAACGCAGCGTCTGACCTCGAATTTACGTCGAACAGAGCGAGGAAGGCGCTAAAATGACTGAAACAATTTACAGTTGTAAAAGTTGCTACAAAGGTGATACCGGGAACTGTGAGAAGATAGAGCATGTTTTGGAAATTGTGAACTTGGATTATATCAATAGAAAAAATACTACAAAGCAATTTCCAGGGGCTGGGGATTTAGCTCAGCGGCACAGCGCCTGCCTGGCAAGCGCAAGGTCGTGAGTTCGATTCCCGGTCCCGGAAAAGAAAAAAAAGAAAAAAACAAACAAAAACGCAATTTCCATTTTGCAAAACAATAGCACTAAGACATCCCTGTACTTTGAAAATACACATATGAAGGGTTTTTTTTCCTTTTACTATTTGTGGTGCTGGGGATGGAACCCAGGACCTCACATATAGTAGGCAAAAGCTCTACTACTGAGCCATGCCCCCAGCCTCAGAGTATACAGATGAAATTAAATACTGGGAAATCAGCAGTTCTCTTGGCAGAATTTCCTGTGATTGTCTGTGTGTGTGTGTGTACGCATGCTGTTCTGTACTTTATCCCCCCATATTTGGTTTAAATATAATATTTAAAATAGCTAACATCCCTGCCTCAATAAGAGTTCAAAAGTAATAGGACCCCCCTCCCTCTGCCTTTTAAAAAGGATTTACAATGCCTGAGGTCTGGGAATTTAGACAGAAATTTTGATTTTACAACACATTAAATGAAAAGTCAAGCTATTAGTCTGATAGTAGAATCCATAAATCAATCACTCAGAATTTGTTTTTTCACTTAAAAATATTTTTAAAATTTGCTTATGAGTGTCCAGGCCTGCTTAGGCATAAACCGAAGAGCACATTTCCCAGAGGAACTGTATAACGCGCTGGACAATAGCAAGGAATGTTTTCCAAGGTTTAGATTCTCTGTGGAGGATTTTCAAGAAGGCCCAAGAAAGCAGAGATTAGTTCTGGGTGGGTAGCTATTCACACAGCTAGATTAGGAGAAACTGGATTAACTAGGAACTGTGTGATATTACAAAGGAAGGGTTAGCAACTGGCTAAATTATTCCCCTGTAATAGGCCAGAACAGCAAAGTTGGTCTGGGGGATCATTAGTTAGAAATGCATGGCCAAAGGGAAGGGTTATGTGATCTGGGAAAATCAGTGCTTCCTGTTGGTGAAAGGGGGCTCCAAAGTCATAAACCCTGCACCTCAAAACTGTGGAAGATAGAGAATACCCCCTGGAAGCTGTAAATGCTGTACAGATTTAGCCTCAAAAGTTAATGCTTTTGTGTGCTGATGATATAGCATGAAAATGTGAAATTAAGAAGGAAATATAGGGAGAAAAGGGATTGGGATAAAGAAAGGCAAGGAGCTGGGCGTGGTGGCACACGCCTGTAATCCCAGCACTCAGGAGGCTGAGGCAGGAGGATTGTTGCGAGTTCGAGACCATCCTGGGCTACAAAGTGAGCTCAAGGCCAGCCTGAACTGCATAGTGAGACCCTGTCTCAAAAAGACCAAAGGAAAAATAAAAGTATACATTTTTTTGTCTTCCCTCTTTTATTTTATTTTATTATTATTATTATATTTGTGTTTTTGTCTTTTTGAGACAGGGTCTTACTACACAGTTCAGGCTGGCCTTGAGCTACTTTGTAGCCCAGGCTGGTCTTGAACTTGCAACGATCTTCCTTCCTCTACCTCCCTAGTGCTGGGATTACAGGTATGTGCTACTGTGTCCAGTCCCCCTTTTATTATAAATTAAAAAATTATTACCATAAAAGGCTTGTGGTTGTTAATACCCCTCAAGGTAATCGGTGTTGTTTCAAACACACTTATTTGATTCTTTACCTTTTTATTTTTAATTTTTAAATATCAGGCTCTTGCTGTGTAGGTCAGGCTGGCCTTGAACTCACTATGTAGCCCAAACTGGCCTCAAACTCAAGGCAATCTCCCTGCCTCAGCCTTCTGAGTGCTGGGATTACAGGTGTGTAACACCACACCCAGTTTCTTTCCCTTTTTTTTTCTTTTCTTTTTTTTTTTTTTTTTTGTTTTTTTTCTCCGGTACCGGGAACCGAACTCACGAGCTGGCGCTTGCCAGGCAGGCGCTTTTGCCGCTGAGCTAAATCCCCAGCCCCTTTTTTTGTCTTTTTGAGACAGGGTGTCTGCTATGCAGTTCAAACTGGCCTTGAGCTCACTTTGTAGCCCAGGCTGGACTCAGACTTGCAGCAATCCTCCTAACCTCAGCCTCCTGAGTGCTGGGATTACAGGTCCTGGCTTACTTTTTCTTTTTCTTTTTTTTTGTTTTCTTCTAGTACCGGGAATTGAACTCATGACCTTGCGCTTGCCAGGCAGGCTCTGTGCCGCTGAGCTAAATCCCCAGCCCCGCTTACTTTTTAAAGTAAGGATCTGTGTTGCTAAATTGCTCGGGCTGGGTTCAAATTTGTGATCCTCTTGACTCAGCCTCCCAGGGTGCTGGGCTTCTAGGCATAAACTGCCATGCCTTGCTTCTAAATGATAGAATTTTAGCCCTGGCTAAAAGTCTAGCCCTGGCTGGTAGCACATACCTATAATCCCAGCCCTTTGGGAGGCCGAGGCAGCAGGTTTATTTGTGTTTAGGCTAGACAAAATGATGAGCTAGCAAAATTCTTTCTCAAAAAAAAAAAAAAAAAAAAAGCCATGTGTGGTGGTGCAAACCTGTAATCCCAGCACTCGGGAGGCTGAGGCAGGAGAATCTTTGCAAGTTTGAGGCCAGCCTGGGCTACAAAGTGAGCTTAAGGCAGCCTGAACTGCATAGTGAGACCCTGTCTCAAAAAAGACAAAATAAATAAATAAATTTTTAAAAATCCTACATTTTATAGTATTATATAAGGGGTGATCAAAAATATGGTAGATGTTTAAATTAAAAAACTAAAAGAAACTGCTAAGAACAATGGGGTGTTTGAAGTAAGGAACAATATTTTGAAATTTTTTTTAATATTTTGACAATTTGAGGGGGATAAATAGCAATTTCCTTTTTACTGGAATAATTTTTAAAATTTAAACTACCCTGTTTCTTGATCGCCCCTCATATATTATTATTAATTATTATTATTATCATTTTGAGACAGGATTTCAGTATGTCATGTAAACTGGCCTTGAACTCACTTACGTAGCCCAGGCTGGCTTCGAACTCACAGCAATCCTCCGGCCTCAGCCTCTCATGTGCTGGGAATACAGATGTGTGCCACTATACTGGGCTTCCTCATGTATTATTCTGTGTGTCTGAGACTTTTCAAAATAAATGTTACACTCCTTTAACATCGAAATCTCTCCTTTGTATCACTTCACAGAAACAAGCTCTATTTAGAGGTTCTCTTTGGGAAGAATCTCCTTTGATTTTGAAGAAACCCCTTGAAGGATAGGAGAGCTGTGCAGGTAAACAGAGACACAGAATTGGAGAATTTAAGGAAGCAAAAGAATTGTCGTGTCACCAGGCGTGGTGGCGCAGGCCTGTAATCCCAGCACTCGGGGGGCTGAGGCAGGAGGATCGTTGTGAGTTCGAGACCAGCCTGAGCTACAAAGTGAGCTTGAGTCCAGCCTGAACTGCAAGGCACTGGATTGTGAAGGCTTTTGGAAACCATGCTCAGTGACGCTGTTTTATTCCAAGTGCAATGCCTGACGAACTTCCCCGAGGTAGTACCACCTACCACTCATGAGCCACTGTCCCTTCTGTCCCTTGTGGGTCAGTAATACTAAGGACTGCGCAGGATCTTTCTCACTAGTGTATGAACCGCGTGAATATCCAGAGAGTCTCCATTCTTTTCTTCATACAGGCCAAATTTTTACAGTATTTGAAAGTAGGTAGAAACTCATATTATTGTAGACAACTATGTTAGATAGAAACATTACAGGCAGTGGCTGGGCCCTGGAGGGAGTCAAGGTGAAGGGTGAAAACACATTACAGCTGTGGAGGAGACTCATCAGGAGCAGGCCAGGCCTCAAGAAGACAACAAGGGAGCCCACATACTTATGCCTCAAGGGGTGTGATAAGTAGTAACACGTGGTCTAAATAGGCATCGGTCACCCCAGTGGGCCAGGAAGACCCCAGATCCCTCACCTACCTGAGAAGCTGTTCTTTCCGTGTCTGATGGCTAAGTCACTTGCCTCCCCACTGGATCAATATTACCTAAGTAGCTACACTCGTAATCTTGTTGTTTGATCATAAGTATAACCCACATTTTACCCACATGACTTTTGCTCTTTAAAATTTCTCTGTAAAGCCGGGCGTGGTGGTGCATTCCTATAATCCTAGCACTGGGGAGGCTGAGGCAGGAGGATCATTGCGAGTTCGAGACCAGCCTGGGCTACAAAGTGAGCTCAAGGCCAGCCTGAACTGCACAGCGAGACCCTGTCTCAAAAAAAAGACACACACACAAAAATTTCCCTGTAAAGTGGGGTCCCTGGGTTACCCACTTTGGTCCCCACCTGTCTCTCTGGCAGGAGCTTTCTATCTCTCCAGAAATTCCGTGTGTGTGTGTGTGTGTGTGTGTGTGTGTGTGTGTGTGTGTGTGTTTGAGACAAGGTCTCGCTACACAGTTCAGGCTGGCCTTGAGATAACTTTGTAGCTCAGGCTGGCCTCGAACTCGAAACGATCCTTCTGCCTCAGCCACCTGAGTGCTGGGATTACAGGTGTGCGCCACCGTCTCCAGAAATTCCTACTCTTAACCTCCGTTGTTCCTAGAATTCATTCTTCGATTTTAGCGAACACGAACTCGGTATCAGACATCTAACAGGTTGGGGCTTATAATATTTCCCTTATATCATATTTGGAGGTTCTGATAACATTCCTCTATCAATATAAATATAACATCCTCGGGGTGGCGGGTCCTAGCCCCAGCACTCTGAGAGCTTGGTGGTGGCCGTAAATTGGAGCCCGGGCTGGGCAATTAGGCGGGACCTCATCTCAAAACACAAAAGGGCTGGGGATGTAGTAGCTCACTGTAAAGGCCCTGGGTTCAATCCCCAGTTAACATTTTTTTCTTATTTTATATTTAATCCTTTCTACAGTGCTAGTGAAATAAAAGGCCGTAATGCAATAAAACAAAATTACTGGGTCAATGTGTCAGTTCACGCAGCTCAATATTACTGAGAAAGAAAAAGCCTCTCAAGTTTCTTAGACGTTAAACAATCCAACTTTTTTTCTTCGTAGTCACAAACTTCCGGAGAAAGATCGGTGGGCGGGCACTGACGGCTTCGCTTCCCCTCATTGGTTCTTCTCTCAGACCCCGCCCCCCGGGGCGCGCCAATTGGGTCGTTAGTTATGGTTTAAACCGCCGGTGCGGCGCGGTCGGCTGCGGTGTCCGTCTGGTGCATCTGGCTGTTGGAGCTCGCTGGGTGAGCGGGCAGAGGCACAGTGCGGCTCGGGTTTCTGGGGGTCCCGGGCGGCCCGCTCGAAAGGGGCCTGGAGCCTCTGACTTGCGGGGACGCCTCGGAACCCGCCGAGTTCTGAGCGCTGCAGCTTCTCTCCTTTTCCCTTTTCCCCAGACCCCGGTGTCCGCGTACGCTCCCTGCCCCCGTGCAATCCAGGATGGCGACTCGGATCTTCGTCGACAAGGAAAACGGAGAACCAGGCGCCCGTGGGGCCCCTAAGGATGGGCTGAAGCTGGGGTCGGGGCCGGGTGAGTGAGTGCGCGACCTGCAGGCCGATCCGCGCGGGCGTGGGGGGATCGGGGGCGTGGCTGGCGCCTGGCCAAGATTTGGTGCACTTTGTGGACAGTTAGGTCTGTTATCGTTGCACGCTCAGTGTCTTTTGTTTTGTTTTGTTTTTGTTCCGGTACCAGGAATCGAACTGACGACCTTGCACTTGCCAGGCAGGTGCTGTGCCGCTGAGCTAAATCCCCCCCACCCCTCAGTGTCTTAATGAGGTGCCTTAAGAAAGTAGTGAACTGTGCCCCTGCCGAGAGTGCGGGTCAGGTTTGGGGGTGAGAGGTCAGGTTCATGCACACAGACAGCATTCGAGTTTCAAAGCTGTTGACTGACCTAGTGTTCTCAGGGTTCTACTTTGTCCTCGCAGTCAAAGCCTTAGATGGGAGGTCTCAGGTTTCAGCGAAGCACGTTGGCAAGAAGTTCAGTGCTCCACCAGCCTTACCTAAAACAGGCAGAAAGGCTTTGGGAACTGTCAACAGAGCTACGGAGAACTCAGTCAAGAGCAATGGACCCCTCAGACAAAAACCAAACTTCTCTGCCAAAAAGGTGAGTGTTGGCTGTAAAGACACTGTTTAAACACTTCAGCACTTTTGACTCTTAAAATGATTATCAGGCATCTTGCCTGACTTTCCCCTTTGCGTGGAAGAGAAATGGGTGTTAGCTAACAGGTGTGCAGAGGAGAATCGCCCTCATGGTCTTCTCTATACCTCGAGATTGGAAACCTTAGAAGTAGTTAACATTTGATTTTTTTGCCTCATCTGTCCTTAACTAGAGCCTAAAAGCGGCTTGGTGGTGGTATCTATTTACAGATACATAAAGTACCAAGAGAGGATAGTTCCAAGAGGTCGAGTTGCTGGTATTATTCAGTCACCGCCTCCTCTGCTTCCTTGCAGAGAAGGTGGGAGCTTGTTAATGACAGTTTCCTGGTATCCCCGTCTTTGTGAGCATGGTCAGTTACAGGTCAGTGTATTCCAGGCAAAGGGCTCTCTGCTGTGAAAGATGTTAGCATACGGTTTAACACCTTGAGTATTTTGTTTAGTGCGTATTAAACTATATCAAGCTGGGCATGGTGGCGCACACCTGTAATCCCAGCACTTGGGAGGCTGAGGCAGGAGGATTGCCATGAGTTGCAAGCTAGCCTAAACTGCATAGCGAGACCTTGTAAAAAAAAAAAAAAAAAAAAAAAAAAAAAAAAAAACTATATCAAACCTGTGACTTTCATGTAGTACAGCATAGGACAAGGGTATATTTGTGAAAAAGTGAATTGAATTAAAGCAAAATGTTAAATACAGGTTTTGGAATGATACGGGAAAAATAATGAGGATGTTGCCCAGAACTGAAGTGTGGGAAACTCTGTGGTTAGGTTTTCCTCTAAGTTGCATAAGGGAAGCCAGAGAAAATCCAAAAATATGTGGCCTTCATTTTGGTCCATGGCAGTTCTTCAAAAGTCCTGGAATATCTTTAGTTGCATTTTAACTCTGAGGAACACAGACTTAAGCTAACCAAGCAAATACAGTAATTACAGTAATACTGGTGGAAAATTCACATTTCTGTAAACCAAAAATGGCTTTGAGGATTAGCTACTATTCTGGGCAGCTCATGCCCATTTTCTCCTCAGTTAGGTTTGGAGAATTAAATTGATTAGCTCCGAATGAACTCCGCTCAGCATTCTTGATAACTTATGCCAACAGGTGCTAATACTTACACTTCTGACTTGAATTTTGAGCCAAACTACTAGAATTACATTTATTTTATGTATGAATTTTTAGGTATAATTGGAAGAACTAAGAATGATGGCTTCTTAAAAGACTGTATGAAGTTGAAAAATTTTAAAATTTTAATACATGGTGAAGTAATCATATGTTTGAATGGGGCCTGCAATGTATTGTAGTTTTTATTTGATATAGCTGCGATTCTTACTAATCCATATTTTCTTGGATGGTTCTAGATGCCTGAGAAGACTGTCAAAGCTCAAAGCTCTGTTCCCGCCTCTGATGACACCTATCCGGAAATAGAAAAATTCTTTCCCTTCAATCCTCTAGGTAGTATCTTTTTGTATGAGCAAAAAATGCTTTCGGCCTTTGGTTTCCTATGGAATTCAACTCAGCTGCATCTTGAATATAATATATAACCCCACACTACAGTGAGACTGTCTGAGTCTTACCTTTTTGAGCACACCCACCCACTATGATTAGAAAATAACAGTGAAGCCGGGCATGGTGGCACATACCTGTAATCCCAGCACTCAGGAGGCTAAGGCAGGAGGGTTGTTGGTGAGTTTGAGACCAGCCTGGGCTACAAAGTGAGCTCAAGGCCAACATAGTGAGAACTTGTCTCAAAAAAAAAAAAAAAAAAGAAAAAGAGAAAAAGAAAATACAGTGAATGTTAAAAATTACAAAAACTTAATAGCAGTTTGTCTTTTACTATAATACCCTTCAAAATGATTCAGACACACGGATCTCACCATTCTTTGCCACTTTCTGAAGCAGTTCTGGAAGCCCTCTCTCATGTCTTCAGCTGTGCTGTCTTGACTGTGATGTCCTGAATTGACTCAAATGCTTACCTTTCAAGGTCATTTTGGATTTGGGGACGAGCCAGAAGTAGCCCAGATCTGGTGAACGAGGCGGGTGAGGACACTGTGTTGCCATAAACATTTTTAATTGCTTCAGAACATTCAGTTAGCCGTGAAAAGACGTGCATGAAGACGACTTCCAGCACTGCTTCAACAAGTGGCAAGAATGACAGGATAAGTGTGTGTGAAGTGAGGGGGAGTGTCCTGAGGGGGTGGGGTATTAATGGTTATGTGTAATAAAATTTTAAAAGTTTAAGTGTTCATAGTTTTGGCTCCTACCTTATATTTGTTCAGGTGGAATCATTTGCAAGTTATGTTAGGTCAGGAGGGGAATAGGGTGAAAGGTGTGGAACATCGTTCCTGTCCTCAAAAGCTGAGCCCCAAAGGGAGAGAATGTGTAATGCCATTGAGTGAGTCTCACTGTGGACAGTCTTTTGGACAAGTCTTTTGTATGGTTATGGTTTCCTTTATAAAGTCAGTGGTTTTTGCATTGTGTAGTCATGTATCATTCAATTTCTCTTTGGTTCTTGGGCTCTACCAGGCTTGAAAAAGAATAGAATAATTCTGAGGTACCTGTGTTTTAGAGCGCTTTCACATCCAAGGACAAAGATGAGAGCACTTACATGCTTTAAAAAGAGACACTCAAAACGTATTCTTTCTCTTTCTCTTTTTCTGTCTGTCTTTTTCTCTTTCTTTCTTTCTTTCTCTTTCTCTCTCTGTCTCTCTCTGTCTGTCTTTCTGTCTCTCTCTTTCTCTCTCTCCTCGTCCTTTTGAGACAGGGTTTCACTATGCACTTCAGGTTGGCCTTGAACTCACGTTGTAGTCCAGGTGGGCCTTGAACTCACAGTAATTCTACCGCCGCCTCACAAATGGTGGGATCACAGGTGTGTGCTACCATACCAGTTTTTTTCTTTTTGTGAGATAGAGTCTTCCTATGTAGTTCAAGCTTGTCTTGAATTCATTATGTATTCCAAGCTGGCCAGCAACTCATGGTGATCCTCTTGCCTTGGCCACCTGAACACTGGGATTACACGCATGTGCAACCACACCTGGCTCAAAATGTATTAAAATCATGCTTTTGTTACTGTGAAGAAAAATTGGTTGTTTTAAATAATTCCCAAGAAGTAAGGCACTTGTGTTTTAAGAAGTTAATAATCTTGTAGCAGTATTTCCAACATTTTTGATTTGGGGGCACTTTTATACTCTTAAAAAAGTATTGAGGACCCCAAGGAATTTTTGCCTATGTGTTCTGTTTATCTCTCCTGAATTAGAAATTAAAATTGAGAAATTCTAAGGATATTAATTCATTAAATAATACAATGTATATAACATTTTTTCTTACATAAAATAACTTTTCTGAACCAAAAGTATCAGTGATAGGGATGGGATGGTTTATCAGATGTCATAAAAAAAATATAGTGAACATTTAAATTTAAAATGTATTATAGTAAAAGACACATTACCATCAATCCCCTTTAGAATATTCAAAATATTCCCCCTTCCTTTGAACACACTTATCCCATCATTCTTAGCAGTGTGTCTTTTACTGTAGTAAGTTTTTTTTTTTGGTTTTTCTCCGGTACCGGGAACCGAACTCACGACCTTGTGCTTGCCAGGCAGGCACTTTTGCTGCTGAGCTAAATCCCCAGCCCCTGTAGTAAGTTTTTAAAAATTTAAACATTTACCCAAACTGGGTATGGTGGCATGTGCTTGTAATCCCAGGATTTGGGAGGCTGAGGCAGGAGTATCGCTGCAAGTTTGAGGCTACAAGGCAAGTCTGAACTACATAGTGAGGTCCTGTCTCAAAGATACTATAAACACTTACCTTATCTTTACTCCTGGTATGTTTGAAAATTTGCTTTATTTGGTGAGTGTAAGACAACTGGTTTCTTTTTTTTTTTGTCTGTTTGAGACAAGGTCTTGCTCTGCAGTTCAGGCTGCAATTCAGGCTGGCCTTGAGCTCACTTTGTAGCCCAGGCTGGCCTTGAACTCGCAAAGATGTGCGCCACCACCCCTGGCAACAACTGGGTTCTTGTCAAAAATCTGTGTTGTGTGTGTTGCATCCGGTTTGGCTGAAGCAAACAGAAGACAGATTGGGCTCATGCAGATGTGTAGTTAGGAATTGGGGGAGTGTTAGTCTTTAGTGAGTGTAGATCATTTTCTTTCATGCAATACTAAAACTCAGCAAGTGGCTAAGTATGAACATACTTGTAGTGTGGGATATGAAATCATATGAATGAACATTGTGTATTCTGATAGTAAAATCCTTTGGTCTGTTCTGCATCTGGACTGTGTCTTCTATTCTTGTATTTATCACGTGTTGATCACTTAGAAATAGTGGGGATGTAGATGTCCAAATGTGGAAACCTGTCATTATGTAACTTCAAAAACCCCAGCATCACCATTGATCTCATCAGAAAAGTTTGAGCTCATGATTGCAAGATAAGTTTTCCAAACTGTCAAATTATTGCTAATAAGTTTTCTGCAATTCTAATTATTTTGAGACACTAAGTCTGTCATCTGCAACAAAGAATTGTTTTTTTTGAAATTACAGACTGACTTAATTCCTTTGAGAAAGGGTGTAGCAAATACCCAGGTTTGAGGGGCCATAGCTTATCTTTCAGTTCTTTCAAATGCAAACGGTGTTCCTGAAAGAAGTCCTCTAATAAAGCTTACTACTCAGATAATTGCACAAACCCTTTATCTTTGAGATGGGCGTTGATCAGCACAAATGTGCTTTCTGGTTTATGGTGTACTTCTTTTAGCACAGAGAGTTTATTTCTTACGGTAAAGTGACAGTGGCATTTATTTAGTTAGTTATGTTTTACTACCATTGGATAGTGGAGAGTAAAGGAACAGCTGATCTTGTTCATTGCCGCTGCCTTGATTTGTGTTAAGGCACCAGCAGTTCTTTCTACCATTGCTTTTGTATCATCATTGCTGATGTCAACACAGTGGGAAAATGCATTAAAATTATTAGGAAGCCAGATGTGGTGGTGCATCCTGTAATCCTTGCACTTGGGGAGGCTGAAGCAGGAGGATCGAAAGTCTGAACCCAACCTGGACACCTTAGTGACTTAGTAAGACCCTGTCTCAAAAGAAAAAATAAAGGATTGGTGCTGTAGCTCAGTGCAAAGCCCTGGGTACCACAACAAATCATGTTATTAGGAAATGGCTTTGCGCTCATGGACTCTCCAGAGAGTTTGAGACCTGCTGACCATACCGGGATCTGCTGTCCTGACAAGAGCTTTCCCTCTGGCAGATTTTGAGAGCTTCGACCTGCCTGAGGAGCACCAGATCGCACAGCTGCCCTTGAGCGGAGTGCCGCTCATGGTGCTCGAGGAGGAGGAGGAGAGAGGGCTGGAGAGGCTGCTGCAGCTGGGCCCCCCTTCCCCCGTGAAGATGCCCTCCCCGTGGGGAGCTGGTAAGGCTCGAGCACCCTGGCTAAATGAGGCTGCAGGCACTTGCTTCACAGCACCTCCCGTACCGTGAGGATGGAGCTGAGGGGGAGGTTGGCCTAGGAGCAGTTTCCTCCTTTGCATACAGGAAAGCAATTTCAGAGAAGAAAGAGTTTTGGTTGGTATTGTGTTTTAGTCCCAAATGCCTTGGTAAGAGGAAGGCTTAAGTAGAGTATAAAAAAAGAGTAAATTTAGCATATAACTTCTTAGGCTGTAAGTTAAAATGTATGGTCAGCTTGTGTAGAATGAGAGCTCCAAGTTCCTGTATATCCACAGTAGTAGAGGTTCAGGATATTTGTGCTGTAGCAGAGAATGACAGTCCTTCTTACCAGCAGTTTGAGGTCTTTGTCTGAACTGATGATTAAACGCTATCATGGACCAGGCGTGGTGCTGCACGCCTGTAATCCCAGCACTCGGGAGGCTGAGGCAGGAGGATGATTGCCAGTTCAAGACAAGCCTGGGCTACAAAGTGAGCTCAAGGCCAGCCTGACTGCATAGCCACACCATGTCTCAAAAAAAGAAAGAAAGAAAGAAAAAAAAACAAAAAAAAAAGATAAGAAAAGCCATCATCAGCTGGGCATGGTGGAGCAGTCTTTTGTAATCCCAGCTATTCAAGAGGCTGAGGCAGGGGGCTTGCAAGTTTGAGGCTGGCCTGGGCCACTTAGCATGACGCTGACACAAACAGTGAAAGGGCTGGTGATTTAGTTCAGTGCAGAGCCTTGGATTCAACTCCCAGAATTGCAAATAAAACACAACATGCCCCCCTACCCCCTGTCCCCAAGAACTCCATCACTGTGCTTTCTGTTTGTTCTGATGAGATAACTTGTATTTATAATTTGTTGAGACTCTTAGCTCTTAGAGGTTCAGGTACACCTAAAACTTAATTCCTGATACAGGTCACTCCTGGGACCACATGTGCATTTCCAGAAGTGTGAAGAGGGGTAGAGGGTAGGGATTCATTAGACAGAGGAAAAACATGAATTTATGGTTTAAAAGCTAATGTCTATGTTGATACAGACAATGACTCTATAGAGTTTGCAGAAATGTAATACATTTCTCTTTTTCCAGATCCGTTGCAGTCTCCTCCAAGTGTTCTTTCCATCCTGGATGTTGAATTACCACCTGCTTGTTATGACATAGATATTTAAATTTCTTACTGGTTTATAGTTTGTGTGTATTTGTATAAATAAAGCATTTCTGTGTAACAGACTGTTTCTGATACTGTGTTTGGGGTTCCTTGGAATTAAAACAGTATGAAAATTAGCTGAAGTGTTTAGCAGACCACAGTCTGTAATCTGACAATATGGATTTGTCTGATTTGTAAAAATTTACCTTAAAGTTTGTTTTAACACCTTAGTTTGGAAACTGCCAATGCTTGCCCTGAAAAGTATACCCTTTACTGTTACTTACTATCTTTTTGTGGCCATTAACTAGTGACAGTTATTAGGTCTCTTAATTAGAAGAGCCACTTACAGCTCATTAAGTATTTATTGCGAGGCATTTTTTATTGCTGGTTCTGTTTAGTTCCTAATGACTTTAGTACTTGGTATTCTGTAATCAGAAATCGAAAGGCTCTAAATCTTCTGAGAACTCAACCTCTCTGAGATCTTCAGTGAGGTATTTGAAGATCACTGCAGATAATTTACTGACCTCTCTGTACCTTTAGGAAAGAAGTTTTATGCTTTATCCTGTGTTGGTCATTAGTATTTCATAAGCATTATTAGTGTCCATGACTGTTTTTCAGATGAAGACAGACTCAGGAGCTCACTGATTTGCTTAAGGCATGAAGAGCTAGAAAATAATAGGGTTGCTATATTTGTTACTGAATGAGCCCTCTTTTGTGCCCCGCACAGTATGTTTATCACTGAATTGATGAATTTTGCAGAAGGATTTATTCACAAGGTGCCAGTCCTTTGGAGTTCAGAGGAATCCCAAATGTCAAGTCCATTTCTTCAGGGATAGAGAATGAAGGGTGTGTCTGGGGTGCAGACACAGGGTGGTCTGAGGCATGTGCAGAGGTGATCTCAGAGGGGAAGGTGAGGCAGTGATACTGTGAACTTCATGGCTCTTTGTAGGATGTATGTTCAGGAGAAATGGCAGTATCAGCCTGATCTGAGGGTGGTGCTATCAGCCCTGTGAAGTCAGCAGGTCCCCCATTCCACACTGTGTGGGCTACGGAAGGGCTGGTGGTCTCGGTGGGTTTGAGACAGCTATAAAGAGCCTCTAAGTTTCTGAATGATTATTATTTCTTCCTCTTGGATTGTTCCTTTTAAAAGGGTGGAGTGAACTTTTTTGTATCTCAGTCTTGGCTTGAAATCTACTATGTCTGCAGATAGAATAGCTACCCTAGGCTTTTTTTTTTTCCTGTGTTCCTGTTGTATAGAGTATTGTTTTCCATCCTTTGACTTTCTGTCTGTGAATTTCTTTCTGAATTATCAAGTGTGTTTCTTGTATGTGGCATATTGTTGGATATTGCTTCTTGAGCCATTCTGTCAGTCTGTTTTTTTGATTGGTGAGTTGAGACCATTAACACTGATGGTTAGCCAGGCGTGGTGGCGCATGCCTGTAATCCCAGCACTCGGGAGGCTGAGGCAGGAGGATCACTGGGAGTTTGAGACCAGCCTGGGCCTCAAAGTGAGCTCAGGGCCAGCCTGAACTCAAGAGCGAGACCCTGTCTCAAAAAGAAAAAACCAAAACATTAATGGTTATAACTGATACGTATTGACTTATCTTTGTCATGTTATTTTCCTGTTGTTGGGTCCCTTTTTTTCCCCCTCTCTGTTTAATTGTTTGCCTTGCCTGGTGGATTCCTTCTGCTGAGGTTCATGGAGCTGTAGTCCTTGTTATCTCTTGCTAGAATGTCTTCAGAACATTTTAGAATGCTGGTTTGGTGGTCATGAATTTCCTCAGGTGTTCTTTGTCATGGAAATATCTTGTTTTTTTTCTGGTACCAGGAATCGAACTCAGGACCTCGCACTTGCCAGGTAGGCGTTGTGCCCCTGAGCTAAATCCCCAGCCCCTGTCTGGAAATATCTTATTTCTCCATCAATACTGAAAGATAATTTTGTGGGGTACATCAGTGTGAGTTGGAGGTTTTTTTCTTTTAAGGCTTGAAATATTGCAGTCCAAGTTCGCCTTGACTTGAGAGTTTGTCTCGAGAAGTCTGCTGTGATTCTGATGGGCTTTCCTTTATAGGTGTTTTGTTCAGAATCTTCACTGTGATATACCTTGCTGTAAATTTTTTTTTTTGATCATGGCTAATTGGACTTCTAGATGCCTCATTAATTTACATGTCAAATTCTTTCTCTACCAGGGAAGTTTTCTGCCATGATGTCTGTGAATAGGTTTATTATATCATTTGTGCTCTCCTGCTTTTTCACTGACTTCAGTCTACCTTGTATCATTGTTCTTTGCATCATCCAGTAGCTGCTGTGTTCATTTCTCATGGTCCCTTGCTATTTTTAAGAAACCTTTCTTTTCATGATCACTAACCACAAGCCTGTCTTCTTTATCTGAGATTCTGTCCTCACATTGGCTCATTCTGCTTTGTGTACTTTCCGTGGAATTTTTACTCTTACTGTCTGCTGGAGTCTGTTTTATGGGTTCCATTTCTTTCCTCTGTTGGGCATTTGTGGTTTCCATCATTTTCCTAAGCTCCTCTATTTTTTTTTTTAATTTTTAAATTTTTTTATCTGTATCTGCCCAGGAGTCACTAAGCATGGTTTTCATTGTGGTCACCATCTCTGCAGTTATCTGAGAAATTATTTCTGATTTTTTTTTCTAGCACCTCATTCAATTGCTTTGTTACCCCTTCAGAAGGCCAGGTGGGTGACTTCTAGATTGTCCCACCTCATTGCCCCTTGGGTTTGCCTCTGTGAACTATGTTCTGGGGTTGCATCTTAAGTGTCTTCTTGTTTTTAGTTTAATTCCTGGGGTGATGTTTGGAAATTGCCTATGGTAGGTTGCTTTATTGCTAGGTTAGAACCCTTAGGAAATGACTACTTCTCCGAGGTATCTTCCAGGTAAAGCTGATTTTTGGGTTCTGAGTCTGTTGCAAGAGCGTACCTCTTCTATTTGTTGGGGATGGTAAGTTGCTGCCTGCTTGGCCCAGCCCCTGGTTCTTTGGCACTGTGCCACAGTAGTTTCAGTGACTCTTAGTCAATCTCAGTGTTAGAATACCAGGAAGAATAGCTGTTTAGAATAATTATGTCACTTTCGGCCAATGTACAGTCAGCAATAACAATAGCATCAAACACAGCCTAGACAATGAAACTGAGGTAACCACTAATTTGCCACCTTTAGCCACATGAACTAGGTTGTGGTTATGTAACAGTCTAAAACAAACCAAGAAATTGTATGTAGTAGATAAGCCTTCACTGTGCCAATTTCACCCCCATGGGAGAAAATTTAAAAGGGATTAGGGGGAAAAAATAGCAAAAGAGATTAGCAAGGCTGGAGGACAAAAGATCATGCAAACTTTGAGAAACTGGTGCAGAAGACAGGAGGGAAAGAGAAGAACAGAACAATCACAAAACTAGAAACCATGTTCATAGTCATGGAAACAAGATCAGACAATGAAGGAAAAAAGAAAAAATGTCCACTTCCAGGTTTGCCTCTGCTGTCCCTGGTAAACAGCGTGTGGAAATAGAATCCAGAGCTATGTTGATTTATCCCGGCAAGCCAGCAATAGCCTTAGGGAGCGGTAGCGGATAATCTCGGTGAGTCGCACCTTTATTTTTCCCTGAAGTTCAGGCTTTTTCTGGCTGTGAGGCTGCGACCAGACCTGTTCACCCTGCAGCCGTCAGTGCACCTTGTGCAGGCTTGAACTCAGCTGGGAGCTGCTAGATGGACCGAGTAGTTGTTCTGAGCTCCAAGTTCAGTTGGCCCCTCTCCAAGATGGCTCCCAGGCAATCAGCAGATCCCGTGGAACATCTGATCCTGCAGCACTCACCCCCAGCCGGTGCAGTCCTCCACATCCACGTCCATTAGTGCTCCCCTCCATGCTGTGTCTCTCTGTGGAGGCCTGTGGTGTCACCAGCAGTCTCCGTGTGTCCACAGGTTTGAACCGCTCCTCCCACACAGTGAGTCCTGACTCAGAAGGCACTGCCTGCTTCCTCCTTTTTCACGTTGAAGTTTCTCTCTATGCTCTTCCCATAGGCTTCAATTCTCACTTCAGATGTTTTCCTGGGTTCAGGAGGCCCATTTTGCTCCTTTTCTTCCTCATGTTGATATATTTTAGTGTCTGGACAGTAAGTCTCAGAGAGGCTCTTTCTCTTCTGCTTATCACTCTGCCATCTTCCCAGAAGTAGCCTCCAGGTTTCTGAAAAGCAACTTAAACAACTGGTGACCATACATTAGAGGCATGTGGTACACTGCCGCTGACGGGATATACCTCTTAGCAACATGACCTATAAAATGAGTGATAAAAGTGAGTAACTAAAGCAAGAGACGCTGGAGTAGGTTGCAAATGCCTGCCTGAGGGTTTTCTCTATTTTAGATAAGGGGAAAATATTCTAAAAACTTAATCCATTTCTACTATTTGAAATTCCAGACAGGTGTGGTGGTGCATGCCTGTAATGCCAGCACTGGGGAGGCTGAGGCAGGAGGATTGCTGTGAGTTTGAGGCTAGCCTGGGCTACAAAGTGAGCTCAAGGCCATCCTGAATTGCAGAGCAAGACCCTGTCTCAAAAAAAAAAAAAAAAAAAAAAAAAAGTCCAGTGTTGAACCTATCTGTGATTTAGCACATCTTTTTTTTTTTTTTTGGTTTTTCTCCGGTACCGGGAACCGAACTCACGACCTTGCGCTTGGATTTAGCACATCTTGAACAAGCAGTCTCTGTCAGTTATCCTTATAGGGCTGGGGATGGACTGTTAACTGCTTCCTTTTAGGCAGAGTGTGGCCTTTTGTCCTACAGACCTTACATCAAATGGCCTTAGGGGGAGAAGTAGTTTCTTTTGTGCTTTGTTTCTTTTTCAGATTTAGCTTGCTTAACTTACTGTACTTGTTTGAGCCGTGTAGTTGATTGAATTTGATCCTTGCTTGATACTTAGTTATGTAGGAGGCACCACTCCTCAAAAATTTGTGGCAACCATAGTCCGCTTAGAATGCCAACCCTTTCTTTGCCATTGTCATTGGAGGAACCGGAAAGAGACTAGGCATGAAATCCTGGAAATAATGACGGTCCCTAAGCCTCATTTTACCTACTAAAT